GTAGTGAATTTAACAAGAGCCACCAGAGCAGTTTTCATGTTATCTTTTTTTGTTGCTGGTACAAGGCATATAATGTTTCTTAAGTATAAATAGAATAAGAAGTAATTTAGTGCTTTTTGTTTTAACAATGAACTGATACACCAATGAGAAAGAAAACATATTATTTTCTATGTACATTTTCCCCAAAATGTTTCCTGTTAATAAATTTGTTTTTAACAAAAACTATAAAATTATTAAATAGTAAGCTCGGAATTAAATTAAGTAAGCTCGGAATCATGAATTTGACCAAAAATAAAAGAAATGTTTTCAGAAAAGTATTTTACCCTAAATCTGTGCTATTTGCATTTGCTGGATTGGGGGTTATTCTGTTCCAAGCCCTCCATTTAGTGCTTTCTTTGATGAGCTCAGATGAAGAAATGCATTACATGGTGGATACAGAAAAGTCACAGGTGAGCAACCCCCACTCCCCTTCTTTTGTCTCTGCTGGGTGATCCCCTATCGTCGGTTTGAAGCCTCAAGACATCATCCTATAAGTGCAACTTATTGCTGTAATGCATTCATATTATCAATGTTATTAGATACAACAGGGCATTTCATCACATGGCAGAACTGTTGATAAGTGACTGACTGCCCAGAAATACTTAGAACTGGATAATTATAACAAGACATTGAAATAGGATCCTTCCTTTCATTCTTTCAATTCCATAAAGTCCCTTTGCAGAAATAGTTTGCGTGTAAAATTCGATTTCAGAAAGACAATTATTAACGGTATTTTTCACATTAGGGTATGCGGTCTGTCATACATATCAAGTAATAATTACATATGAAGTACAACATTGATGGATTAAAGATATCGCCTACAGGAACAGCAACAAAACAAGTCATATTTTCCAAGTAATTTTATTCACCAACTTCAGAACTGAACTAAGCAGATTCACAATGTGACTGGAAAGACAAGACCAGTCAGGTCATTAGCGTCAGAGATTCCATCTTTATGGCAATCTAATCCCATTATTAGTTTCTGGCATTCAGTTTCATATCCTTGGAAAGAATATTGGAATCATTGTGTTAGAATTATCATAAAACTGAATTTTACAAATCTTTTCTTAGTACTCAACTTGGCTCACCATTTCAGGATTTAGTACAATTTTTAATTATTTCCTGATTTTACAGTCAAGCATTATTTTACTGTTACACAAGCAAAATGCTTTTTTAAAAAAATAATTTTTCACCTTTTACCAATGAATCGGAAAATACTTCTTGGTAGCTGCTTTTTAGAAAAAGTACTAGCAAAGTGCAGGAAAGAGAAGAAACATATTGTTCCATTTCAAAAGTATTGTAAGGTGAGAATGATAATAATTTGTAGATTTATATAGATTGGTCAATACGGAAACAGGCCATTTGGCCTGTGCTGGTATTTATACACCACACGAGTCCCCATCCACTACTGAGTTAACAGAGGTCGAGTGAAAAAATCCCTGTGGCCAGTCTGCCCCTCCGAGTCTTGCTGATGAGCCTGGATAGCTGTTCTGTCATCAGTGTACCACCTTGGAGGCAGCTCAGCTCCAATAGACCCCACTTACCTCCACCCCCTGGGGACAGTGAATAGACTTCATCAGACTGAATTGGAAGAAATATTGCAAATAATGTGGCAGCGTTTCAATTGGGCTTGAAAATATATCAGAACAAATTGGCAACCTTAAACTTATTGTTGTTACTGACATGGTGAACATATTCTTTGGCACCTGTCTTAAAGTATTAAAATCATGTACATACTATTCTACATGAACAGTTAGTACATAAGAACAATACATACTTTAAGGCTGCAAAACCACTGTAAATCCAAATAACGGAGCCTACTGTTGCTGTAAAATACACTGGCTGGCCTAGAAATAACAACCAAGGAAGTCTACTTGGCAACCAAGAATTGGGAACACCCAACTGGAAATATCCTTTCTTCTCCCACTTCATTTCCTTCTTGGCCAAAGCTCTGGAACAACTTCGCTCACACCTCAAACTCCACTTCCTACTCAAACCCCTCCAGTCTGGTTTCCCCCCAGCCCACAGCACAGAGACAGCACTCGTCAAAGTAACAAATGATGTCTGCTCACCCTACGACCAGGGCTCTCTCTGCCTCCTCATCTTCCTGGATCTCTTTGCTACATTCGATACAGTCGACCACGCCATCCTCCTCCACCGCCTCTCCTCCCTCATCCACCTTAGTGGGACAGCACTCGCATGGTTCGAGTCCTACTTAACCAACTGCCAGCACTTCATCTCGGCCAATGGTTTTTCCTCTCACCCTGCCAGGTCACTTGTGGGGTACCGCAAGGCTCCATCCTTGGCCCCCTTCTTTTCCTCATCTACATGCTCCTTCTCGGCAATGTCATCTGCAGACTTGGGGTCAACTTCCCTGTCAAGCGTTCCAGGAGGCTACCTCACATGAACGGCTCTATATAAATGCAAGGTGGTGTTGTTGTTCACACACAACCAGGTAGATACTTCTGCATTTTTTTTAGTGTTTTTGCTGCAATTTTAACCACAAACCTCTTGTAAAACAATAACTTTTAACAGACGATGGAGCAGGCCCCCCTCCATGCAGTGAAAGACTTTAGTTTCTATTTTTAAAGGATTGAACAACCTGAAATACAAATAATTGTGAGAAAAAGTGCTCTGGGTGAAACTGTGACTGCATTCCCTGTCACAAACCACCATGTTTAAGATTTCTCCTTCAGGATACTCTTAAGCATGGTGGTGGGTTTCTGCATGTGATACTCTTGTATCCTTGTATTTGGAGAGATACAAGAGGCTGAGATGGGAAAGAGGGTGAGGGCAGTGTCCGTGGAGAGAACAAGAGGCTAAATTTGGGTGGGTTACTTACCTGCCTGTACCCTCCGTTCCTCTGGCTCCGGTCTGCTCTACATCCTCCGCCCTAACCGCCCTACCATCGGTGGCCGGGCTTTCAGCCTCTCAGCCCCTAGGCTCTGGACCTCCATCCCCCAGTGCCTTCGCCGCCTCCTCCCTTTCCTCCTTCAAGGCCGGTCTCAAGACCTTTCTCTTCGACCGTGCCTTCAGCTCCCCTCTCGACTCTCTACCCCCTCCTCTCCTCGCTCCCTCCCTTCCCTCCCCTCACCCTGACCATATCCCTCGAAAACAAAAAACAATAATAAATTGGTCATTTTCAATCTACGACTGTTTGTGGGACGTTGCTGTGCGCAATTGGCTGCCGCGTTCGCCCACAAATATACAGTCAAGTTACTTTACAGTGTGTTCTGTGAAGCGCTTTGGGACATCCTCCCGACATGAAAGGCGCTCTGTAAATGAAATCTTGTTGTTGTTGTTGTGTGTGGAGAGGCTGAGCGGGGGAGGGTGTGGGGGGATGCCAGTGTATGTGGAGAGGCTGACCGGGGTGAGGGGTGGGGGGCAGTGTTAGCCAAAAACTAAAGTACCGTTTGTAGCTCAAAGTCCACCAAACACAAACACTAGCTCAAAAGTAGCCCTTTTTTTCATTAGCCTGGTGTTTGACACATGCGGAAACCCATCACCATGCTTAAGAGTAAACCAAACTGAAATTTCCATGCATCCCACCTACACATGGAAATCCAGAGATAAATTGTTGGAATGGTACGCGCACTCTCTCCCTGGAGGGACCCATCGTGCTTATCTAATTCCTGAAAATATTATAATAATAATCCTTGCATTTGATATAGCGCCTTATCACATCTTCGAGATGTCTCAAAGCGCTTTACAGAATATACTTATACTTTATGGTATAAGGTAGCCAATTGCACATAGCAGTGTCTCACAAACAGTCGTGGAATGAGTGACCACATTATTACTATTTTTTTTGAAGGAATCATTACCCCTGAGAAAAACGACCCACTGCTAGGTAAACAGAGGTGTGAGGAGTAAGGAAACCTGCCCGGGAATAGAACTCTCGCTTATGAGGCGCGGGCTCTAACCACTGAGTTACAGGACTTAACACTTCCACTCACTGGTCAAAACACACAGACACACACGACAGAGCTGGTGAATGTAAGAACCTTAAGGAGAGGGCGAAGAGAAGGGGTGAATTGAAGGGGAGGAGGTAAGAGATAGGAGTGCGGTTGGGAGGAGAGAGTGTGTATCACAGCTTTTCACAGGCTGCTCCTGACTGCTGTGTAACTGAGCTTGGACACAAGTCACAAGGACCTTGGAATCCTCTGAGCCAATATCTCACTGTAGGTTTTTTGCTTAATGGTGATTTTAAAAAAATCCTGCTTGTCTTTTCCTTTTATTTGGAGAGATTCCTGTTTTCTCCTCCCTTCATTCCTCCCTCCCTCCCATCACCAGGTGGGGGCTCCGAATCGTACCATCACCCTATCTTGGTCATCGAGGCCCTATTAGGCGCAGTTTGGCAAGAGCCAAGGCTTGGGGACCCCAATAGGTACTGCTGGAGTCTAACTAGTTAAAACCGCATAACTTGCCATTGATATCGTTACCGACAAGCTTTCCCACTGCTTGTACTGCGGGGACCACCCTACCCGTTACGGTTTCACTTGCAGGGTTAAACAGGAGCTGAGTGGGATGACTACCTGGCCCTAGTGACTGGGCTCTTTCAGGTGCTGCCGATGAGCCAGACTGCCTGTGCTGTCATCAGCAGTGCCCTGGAATACTGTGGACCTGCCCGGCTCAGGAACCGGACCAGAGACCGACGTTCCATTGCCAGCCACGTCACCTTGGAGCCAGTTCAGCCTCAAGGAGACCCAGCTTTCGACTCCGATATTATATGCTGCCTCCTGTGTTCAGCGGCAGACTGACTAATTTAGGTCAGTCCATTTGGAACTGCGTAAGGACAGGTCTTCGAATCCCAAAACCAAAAAAAGGAACACCATTTTGCAAATTTAACCCCTTTTCTCACAGCAACGAAATCCCGCCCAATTGGGCGAGAAGCCGCCCAACCTGGCGACATTTGTGGGTCACGTGGATCAGTGCGTGATCACGTGCTGCTCGCGGTGTCCATGGTGACGGGGCCTGGTCCTGGTCCCGGCCTGTGTGTGTCTCTCTCTCGGTCCCCGGGCTCAAGGTGAGTTAACTTTCCCCGAACATGAAATAACTCGTCTCTTGGCCGTGCCGGGCGGCTCTCGCTGCTCCCCGTCGGCTCTGTTCGCCGCCGCCGCTCACACTCACATCCCGAGGCCCGGGAGCCCGGCCCTAGTCACAGCTCTGAGGCCGGGCCCGGCCCCGCACTGAAGCCCGTGAAGCCGCTTCTCTACCGAGGAGGGCCCCACGCGAGCCTGGGGAGCGAGTGGGCGGCGCACAGCTTTTAAGCGGAGGGAACAGGGGGCTGGAGGACAGGGGGACGGGGGTTTGTTGGCGTCTTGACTGTCTCGTGGCCTCGGTGTGTGCACGAGGTTGATTCATTCCTACACGACAGAGCGACTGCTGTCAGGAGGAAATGGCTTTATCGCTGGAAGGTGCAGTCGGTGACTGTTCTGCAGGTGAACATGGCAGCTGGTTTGTGCACAGCTATGTACAGCTAACAGCCGCGGCGTGAGTTACCAGGTTTGTTTGGGGATCGCTGGCCAGGACACCGTTCTCTTTTCCATTAGTGCTGTTGGTTCTTTAACGTCCACCTGAACAGGGCAGATGGGAGGGAGCTCCGTTTCATTCAAAGTTCGGCAACTCCCAATAATTATCCTTGCGTTTGATATAGTGCCTTTCATATCATTGAGGTGTCACACGGTGTTTCACAGGATATCTTGTAACCTGGAGTACCTGTGTATTTTGTGAGTGAAATACCGTGGCCATTTGCGCACAGCAATGGCCCACAAACAGTCATGGAGTGAGTGACCAATTTTATTTGTGGGATTGTTGCCCAGGAGAGACCCCTTTCTCTTTTGGAATATTTCCTTATAATCTTTAACTTCCACGTGAATAGGCAGATGGAATCTGAGTTTAACTTCTTAACCAAAGGACAGCAACTCCGACAACCTCAACACTGTGTTGGGGTGTCAGCCAAGACTGTGAGTTCAAAGTCCTGACTACAACAACAAGTGACACTTGTGTAGGCGCCCTTCACGTTGGAAAGACATCTCGGTGCTGGACAATCAGGGATGTTGGATGTAAAGATTATTCTAATAATCGCTTATTAAATTTCTTATCAATCTTATCAATCCACGACTGTTTGTGGGACACTGCTGTGCGCAATTAGCTGCTGCGTTTCGCCCACCAATATACAGTCAATTCACTTCAGTTGATAGTCACGTGCCCTTTATGGGAAATCATCAAAAAAATTTAAATTCTTTGATGTCTCACCAGTAGGATTTTAAACAAATAATCTTATTGATATTTTCCCAAAAGCGTTAATAATAATAATCCTTGCATTTGATATAGCGCTTTTCACATCTTCGAGACGTCTCAAAGTGCTTCACAGAATATACTGTAAAGTGAATTGACTGTATATTTCTGGGCAAAACGCGGCAGCCAACTGCGCACAGCAGTGTCCCACAAACAGTCATGGATTGATAAGAAATTTAATAAGATTATTAGAATAATCCTTACATTTGCTATAGTGCCTTTGGGAGGACATCTTGAAATGTTCACAGGATATTAGTATAAATTGAAGTCACTGGAATTCTGTGGGCGTGATTGTTTGAACTGATGTCTGTATAGAAGTTGCAATGAAAAAGGATAATAATAATCCTTACATTTGATTCAGGATGAAGGAATAGTGGTTTCCTTTTCTTACACCTTCCTGTCAATTGGGAGAATGATGCAGATAGATATAGATATGTCGCACTCAAAAGACATTTTGTCCATCTGTGACCAGGACTTCCTCTGCCTCCTCATCCTCCTTGACTTCTCTGCTAGTTTTGTTATGGTCTTTCGCCTATCTTTCTCCTCTCCTCTCACCTCAACCTTCATGGTTCTGTCCTTGAGTGGTTCAGATCCTACCTCTCACACCATCTCCACTTCATCTCCATAAATGACTTCTCCTCAAGCCCCCGCACCATCCAATGCTGTGTTACTCAGGGCTCTGTCCGTGGTCCAATATCTACACACTCAGTGCCATCATCCGCAGACATGGGGTCAACTTCCACATGTATGTGAATGACACCCAACTCTAGCTCTCTGCCTCCACCCTTGACTCCTGGACCACTGCTGTCCTGATAGAATGTCAGACATCAAGACCTGGATGAGAGCTAACTTTCTACAGTTAAACGTCAACAAGACTTGAGACCCTCCTCATTGGCACTCCACAGGTATTGACAGCATCACCATCCAAGGATGCACACTCCACTGAGCCAGTCAGGAACCTTGGCATCTTGCTTGACCCTCAACTATCCTTTCTACCCCACATCTTTGACAAGACCCGCTCTGCCTTCTCCCATCTCCGCAACATCACCCAGCTCTGCCACTGCCTCACCCCTCAGGCAGCCGAAAGTCTCATTCATGCGTTCATCACATCTCGGCTCGACTACGCCAACTCCCTGCTTATCGGCTTCCTAACTGTTCCCTCCATAAACTGCAGATCATCCAGAACTCTGCAGCTTGTGTTCTCTCCCGCACCAGGCTCCATGACTCCAGCACTCCCACCCTTGCCCGGCTCCACTGGCTCCCCATCCCCCAGAGAATAGGGTTCAAAATACTCATCCTCTCCTTCAAGGCCCTCCACAGCCTTGCTCCTCCCTGCCTCGGCAACCTGCTGACACTATATCAATCTGTCTATTCTCTCCACTCAGCAGGCTGTGGCCTGCTGCACTTCCCCCGGCCGACCTTCGGCGGTCGGGCCTTCAGCCTTTCTGACACCAGCCTATGGAACTTCATCCCACATTCCCTTTGGCTTGCTCCCTCCCTTGCCTCCTTCAAGGCGTGTCTCAAAACCTTCCTCTTTGAGCCTTCAGCCCACTACTCTTGCCCTCTACCCTCCATGATCCCGACCCCCAGCTCGTGTCCAAATCCCTCACCGTCCAGTGTCTTGGGACGTCCTCCTGACGTAAAAGGCGCTTTACAAATGTAAATGACCATTGATGATCTTTAGCATCTGTGAATGATGCTAGGAAAAGCATTAACAAAACACAAAATACTGCAGATGCTGGAAATCTGAAACAAGAACAGAGAGAGCCGTGAAAACTCAGCAGGACAGGCAGCAGCTACGGAAAACGGAAAGTTAGTCAACGTTTCGGGTCCACGACCCTTCGTCAGAATGTTCTGTTTTTGTTTTAGGGAAAGCATTGTTCAGATGAGAGTGCTGACAAGAGGAAGCTGCTCTTAATACACACCATATTACTTTGTTAAATTGCTGGTTGCCAGATTGCTTCTGTTCTGCACATGTCATAATGTGTTCAATATGATGGTATCGTCTACATGCCTGTTTCTTCATTATTTTATTATGTAACTCTGTTGCACTCACATCTATCTGTCTGTATGACTGAGTAACTTTAACACAAGGTTCTGAATTGTATTCTGAAGTTCTGAATTTAGTGTAACAATTCAGTGTGGTACAAGATTTGCTCCCAGGTTTCAATGAGTTAACTGATTTCCTCACACTGGAAGTGCACTTAAAATGGGTGGATGAAATGCTACGACTGGGTTTAATCCACCTAGACTGGGTAGGAGGAAAAATCTGTGGGACTGATGCCCAGTAGCGCCCAGAGAGAAAGGTGAATGCATTGTGTGTATGCATATTTGTCAGGTTAGGACAGGATAAAGATTGGCTGTAAAGTTTTCTTGACACTCGCTGTTCAGTCTTGTGTGCAGAATGGCAATTTGAACAAGGAGGTCCTAGTGGGCTGCCAGGACCCACAGAATTTACCCCAACTTGATTTGCTTCATTCAGAAAAAGAAGGTGGTATCATAATACTAACAACGTTATCACCAACCAGCTTGCCATACAGCTTTTTGGGGTCAGTTTGGCTCAATTGATAGAAATCTCAACTCTTGAGTCAGAAGGTTGTGGATTCAAGCCCCACGTCGGGACTGCAATTCCAGGGATATGTCCTGCCCTTGAATGAGATGTTAAACCAAAGTGCGTCTGCCTGTTCAAATGGTAATTGAATATCCCATGGCACTATTTGAAAAGAGAAGGGTGTTTCTACTGGTGTCCTGGCTAACAGCCCAATAAAATTGTTCATTCGCTTCATAACTGTTTGTGGGACATTGCTGTGCACAAAATTGGCTACTGTGTTCGCCTATAAAACCTATAGTCACTCCACTTTTCAGTACATCCTGACATTGAAACGTCCTCGTGGCATGAAAAGCACTATACCAAATGTAATGATTCTTACAGTTATTATTATTTAATAGGTGCAGTGTCCTAGAAGCTGCTGGTTATTCATGCTGCTTGGTATCTATGAAACTGATTTGAAACTATGAAACTAAGCAAATCATTGCTACTATCATTGCTTATCATTGCTACTATATCTGTATGCACAGAGCCTCCTGCCAAAATGAAGAATAATTTTTCATCTTTCTAGTTCAGAAGTAATTTTGCTTACGATACTGCAGAAATTATTTTGTTTGTGGTAATGCTGTAATTATCCTGTGCCTTTTTTTGCTTTAGGCCTTTTTACAGTCCATTGTCAGGATGTCGTATATGTTACCGCATCTCCACAATGGCTGGCAAGTGGATCAGGCCATTCTGTCAGAAGAGGATCGCGTTGTAGTCATTCGATTTGGTCATGACTGGGACCCAACTTGTATGAAAATGGATGAGGTGCTGTATAGTATTGCTGAGAAGGTGAGCCTGTGCAAATGTTAAAGATTAGAGCAAGGTTTTAGCAAATATTCAGTAAATGCAGAATGCTACAAAATTGTACTGGCTTTCATTTAGTTTAGAGTTCTCTGGCATGGTCTGATACTAACTTCTCCATATTATCTTTGAGCATTTTATACTTTATCTAATTTTTCAAGTAAATGATCCCATTCCTCAGCTTATCTGGACATTTTCACAGTAGAGAAGGCAGGCAGATGGCCTTCTCCAAGACCTTCTTGCTTTTCCTCTCTCCCACCCCCATTTTGCCCTTGTGGCGAACGGTTGCAAGATATTACCCAGGTAGATATGATTCCCAACCCGTTCTTTCCCTTGGAATCCTTCTCTCCTTGGTACCTCCTTTATTTGGCACAGCTCAGATTACAAAATGTGCTTATTGAATCTACATCTTTTTACTGTTATACTAAGGATCAGTGCACCAATTCTCAGCATCACATATTCTCTTATGCCCTACTTTTAGTAACAGTAATCCCAAGCTATCATTTGTTTATCAACTGCCAAATGTTAAACATAATTTTACTGTAGGGTAAAATTTCATATCTATACTTATAAAGACGCAATGTCGTGTATCTGTGTGTCCGCTAAGAACTCAATAACCGATTGACATAGACATGATGTCTATATTTAAAAAAACAGCTCATCACACATGTTACATGTATGCAGCAGTTACACCTGGTGGCCGCGCTGACTCCCAGTTGCGCTGTGGCATCATGCATCACAGAGCACAGATGCACACACTTAGACAAAGCCAAGCAGTGGAAACAAGATGGCGGTGGTAAGGTGGAAGTTGTCTCAAGCGGCATTGATGGCAGCCGTTTGGTTGCTTTTCTTGCTGCTCCTGGGCAGCCTCCGGCTGGACCGGGACATGTCGGAGTTGGCCTGGTGGTGGGTGATGGTTGGCTTGGTAAGGCCATGAAGTTTCCGGGTTTCTCCGCCCCGTGGCCTAGCAGCGACTAGCTGGGGAGAGTGAAGTCTCAGGCTCGAATTGGGGCCTAACCTTGGGCTGGCGTTTAGCCCCCTCCCCCTCTGGAGTTTAGCCCCTCTCCCCTTATGTATATGATTTTAATAATAATCTATACTAATAAAGACGAGCTGTGTGTCAGTCTGTTTGTGTGTCAATCTACATTCCATATTGGATTCTTTGGTTGCAAGCAAAGCTGCCATGGGTACAGCTGGTAGTTTATAAATACAAATGGTCTCTGTTATGAAACATTGTGATGTACCATAAATCAGAGTATAATATGCATTGATGATAAATACAGAACACGTAAAATGCTTCATGGGATGCCCACAGAAATGCAAGTGTTTAATTTTGCATGGCTCCCAAAACTAATTGTGAAAGAATCCTGATATTTGTATATCAATTTGGTATTTATTTAATTTTCTTACAACTAGATCGTGTTATTTGTTTCCTAGGTGAAAAATTTTGCTGTTATTTATCTTGTGGATATCACAGAGGTACCAGATTTCAACAAGATGTATGAATTGTATGATCCCTGTACAGTTATGTTTTTCTTCAGGTAAGCAAAGTTGTAGTTTCTGAGAACAAGCGGATTTTGTATTTCTAGTCATAAAAACAAGATAATTAGAAAAGTAATTTAATAAATTTGAGTTCAATTTTTTAAATCAAACTTCCTAGTTTAATATCTGTCAACATTTGAGGATGCAATATCTGTTTATTCTGGTCTAAGATCTACCTCAATCCATGGCTGATGAATATAACGCTTGCACTGGCCCTCTGATTTGCTAAAATGGGACCGGTTTGAGCGAGGTAGTTTTATTGGAGAGCAAGCTGATGACAAGCTGGTGAGAAACCCATGAGGAATATACCACTGGAAGAGATTCTGAATGGTGGATAATGGGAGAATCCTATTCCTCATGAAGGAAAGAATTGGGGAATATGCAACTGAGGCAGGGAAGGAGTGGACTGAGGGAAAATGAAAGAGGATTGAAAAGGGGTTGAGAATAATATTTAGTGTGGCAATAAAAGGCAAAGAAATGTTGAATGGGCTTGAACTACCAGGTAGGAGAGAGCACAAGTGATTGGAGGTAACATCTGGTAAAGGAAGTTAGAAGTATTGTGGGGGGAAGGGGGAGAAGCAGACCAAGCTCAAAGAAAAAGGATTAGATCTGTCAACCTGATTCAGTTGGTAGTACTCTTGCACTTGAATCAGTAGGTTGTGGCTTCCAGCCCTACAATTGGACATTGAGTTCACAGTCTAGACTGACACTCTGACAATGCTGTATTGTCGAAGGTACCTTTCTTTGGATAAGACATTACCCCACGGTATACCATCTGCTTGTTCAAGTGTACGTTAAAGATTCCATTGCATTTCTCAAAAAGTGAGTTTTTCCCAATGGTTGGGCCTAAAGTAAATCCCCCAGATTAGACTGACCATTTATTTCATGGCTTACAAATATATTGTCACTACAATTTTAGATAATTATTTGGGGAGGTCACGTTTGCAGGCCTATGGGGAGAGAGCAGGGGAGTGGGATTGATTTGAAGAGCTCTTTTCAAAGAGCCGGCACAGACACGACGGGCCGAATCCCCTACTTCTGTGCTGTATAATTCTATGATTCTATGATACACTTTGCAGCAATTCCTTCACCATATCAGATGGTACAATTATTATCTGTACCAGTCGTTGCCCTCAGCTAAATATAATTAGGAACCTGTACCATATTGTGGCTGCTGGGTGACGCTGTTCAATAACTGTTACAGTTCTTTTCTGAATAGGCTTCACTCAATGGCAGGGATGAGGTACTACAGCACACAAACAAAAGTCATAAATATTTACAATCCAGAGTCCTCCAACTAGTAAATTGTTAAATCTGTGTAAAATAAACACTTCTGTTTGTTATAGAGGTTTTTTTAATATAATTTATGTAATTTATGCATAGAAAACACAGAAGTACATATTACCTAATAAATATTCTTGATTTTTCTCCCATTTCACTTGTTTTCCAATGCCATGCACATCAAAGCGGATGATCTTGAGAGCAGCTCCCAATTTTGCATCAATGCTGCTCTATACTTACAACAACAACAAAATTACATTTATAGAGCTCCTTTCACGTCGGGAGGACGTCCCAAGGTGCTGGACTTAGCTTTTAAGACTGCACAAGAGCAGTCGGGTGACTCTCTTCAGCATGATGGATTGTGATGGCATGGCTGAGATACACAGCTTATCTTGTGGCGAATTGAGTACATGAACTTGTCACTGTATACGACAACAACAAAATTACATTTGTAAAGTGCCCTTCATGTCGGGAGGAAGTCCCAAGGCACTGAACAGTCGGGGATCAGGACCCAAGCATGGGATGGCAGAGTTGGGATGAGGGACGGCAGAGGGGTAGGAGGGCAGCTGAAGGCACAGTCGAAAAGGAGGGTCTTTGGTCATGCCTTGAAAAAGGCAAGGGAGTGAACGTGGGAGCATCTAAAGGGATCGTGGGATGGAGTTCCAAAAAGTGGTGGCACAGAGGTTGAAAGTCCGGCTGCCGATGGTAGCAGGTTGTGCGGGAAACATGGAGCAGGCCAGAGCCTGCTAAATGGAGGGAGTGGACAGGTTGATAGGGGATTAGCAGGTCAGAGAGGCAGGAGGGGGCAAAGTCATGGAGGGCCTTGAAAGTGAGTTCAAGGATTTTGAATTCTTTCCTCTGAGGGAAGGGGAGCCAGTGGAACCAGGCAAGGGTGGGGGCGATGAGGTTACAGAGCCTGGTGTGGGAGAGGAATGAGCTGCAGAGTTCTGGATGATCTGGAGCTTGTGGGGGGAAGGGCAGTTGGGGAGGTTGTCCAGGAGGAGCCTTGAGGTGAAAAATGCGTATGTGTTTTTCGGCGGCCTGAGGGGTGAGGCAGTGGCGGAGTCGGGCAATTTGCAGAGGTGAGGGAAGATAGAGCGGGTCATGGCATGGATATGGGGGAGAAAGGACAGTTGAGAGTCGAACAAGACGCCCAGGCTCCTGACTGGCTTGGTGAGGTGCAGTGTGCATCTGTAAATGCTGATGCTGTCATTGCTAGTATAGCACAGTGCTATCAATTCAGGATGTTTGTTTCATATTTGTGGATTTTTGCTTTCATTTCTCACCACTCATTTCAAAGTTATTCATTCTTACATGAATGTTTGCAAAACGTGTGTTTTTTTTCTACTAAATTGCTTTCAAGTCATCTAATTTGCACCATTTGCCCCATAGACCACTTCATTTCCATTAATCACCAATGAACACATTTTCAAGTTAGAACTAAATTGCTATGCTGTAAATTTTGATTTAATATGGCTCGAAGAAGAGGAATAATGCCCTAGAATAGTTTGCTAGTTGAAAGTGATATAAAAATAATAATCCTTGCCTGTTGTCAAAATGTCTCACAGTGCTTCACAGGAATTACTGTGAAGTTCACTGACCGATTTTATCTGGGGATTGTTGGCCAGGACAAGAAACTACCTTTTTTGAATAGTGCTGTGGGATCTTTAATAACATCCACCTAAACAAGCAGACAGGACCTCATTTTAACTAAAGGATGGACTTCTGACAATGCAGTACACCTCCAACACTACAATAGAGTGATAATGGAATAGTCATAAGACAGCTTTAGAAACTACTATAATTTGTTAATTTATAATTGTTGAATAAGTCAATTAATTGAAAAGGCAAGCTATTTTATTTGGAAAATGTTGCAGACTGCGTAAAGTTGAAATAAAAGGTTGTTATGAAGCCATCATTCCTGTTAATTGTTGATTTTTCTTTCTAGGAACAAGCACATTATGATTGATCTGGGCACTGGTAACAACAATAAAATTAATTGGCCTATGGAAGACAAACAGGAAATGATTGACATTGTGGAGACAGTTTATAGAGGAGCTCGTAAAGGAAGAGGTCTTGTAGTTTCTCCGAAAGATTATTCTACAAAATACAGATATTGAAGTGTCCATGTTTCCTCAGTCAGTAACTTCCAATGTGCTTCAGTGTGGAATAACATAAATGGATATCAGCATATTTGCAAAATTTCATATTTATATAAACGCTTGGATTAGGTGCCTCTTTTTTATTGTATTTTATATTATCTATGACAAGACTTGTAAACTAAAGCGGAAACTTTTTTGTCATGTTTTCTGTTTCCTAACTTCAGTTTGATATTTGACTTATTTACTACTAGCTGTACCGGTTGCAGCTACTCTTGCAACCAAAGGATCCAATATGGAATGTAGATTAACACGCAGACAGACACACAGATATTTTCATCTTTATCTATACTCATCTGGGAGGACTCATTTTGGCCATGCTGTTCTTTGAGTGGGCAACTCATTTTGGCGTGCTGTGCAGTCCTTTCAGCATTGAAGTGCAGCCGTGCTGTTGTTCTTTAGTTTCATTTAATTGGCCTTCTCTTTTGTTTAGCATTTTCACTCATCCTTGAAAGGTTTGATTTTCATTTAGGCATCTTTATAATGATACATCTAAATGTATAACTTATAATCACTGGGATGTCCTCCAGGCATGAAAGGCGCTTTAAAAATGTAATTTTGTGGTAGCCGCGGCTTAGCTTTGTCTGTGTTCTTTATTTTGTACCCGCCGTTGCTTGGCTTGGGGCCTCTGACGCAGGATGCCACAGTGCCATGGTCAGCCGACCCGGCCACTAGGTGTAACTGCAGTGTGTGCGTACATACGTAAGTGCTCTGTAGCACACGATTCCGTAGCACCACTTTGACTCGGTGGCCACCAGATGTAACTGCAGCGAAAAAACGCAAAATTGAAATACATTTTAGGACAAAACTCATGAACGATAGGAGATACCCGAAAACAGTAATGCTCATGTCACTCCCAGATGCAAGACCTTTCCGATGAGGTATAAATCATGTCTCAATCGGTTATTGAGATCTTCTTGAAGCGCAGTCAGACATTGTTTTAGTATAAATATATATAATATATAGATAGAAGAAGATAGTTGTAAAAACAAAAAGGAAGAGGTTACCAATGGATTTGTGATTGAGTACTTAATGCATTGCAAATAATTTCCTTTCTCCTCTCTAAACATTAATTAGAGAATAATGTTACATTTCTTCATTCCCATACAACTAATTTTCAAAGTAGTCACGACTGACACAGCTGAAACCTTCGTCCATTCATTGTCACTTCCCGGCAAGTCTATTCCAATGCCCTCCTCCCCAGCACCACCGTACACAAATCCACTTAATTGAAAACTCTGCTGCCCGGATACTCAGCCGCACAAAACTCTAGCTGCACCACATCAGTCCTCGTGAGGCTCTAATGGCTCCCAATTACTGAACAAATCGATTTTAAGATCCTCGTTTTCAATCACTTCATGCCCTCGTATCTCCCTGTCTATCTGACCTGCTCACCACCGCCCACTGCCTCCGTTTGGCTGGCTCTGCCCTCCTGTTTGTCCCTGAACAACAACAACTTGCACTTATATGGCACTCTCCATGCAGGGTAGCATCTCAGAGCGCTTGTGCCCTCTGTTCCACCATCGGTAGCTGTGCCTTCAGCCATTATGCCCCGAAATTCTGGAACTCTCTCTCTCAATCCCTCTGCCTTGCCCCCTCCCTCCCTCCCCACCTTCAAGTCCCGCCTAAAGACCTTAATTTTTGATTGTGCTAAAGGTAACCTCCCCCGTCCTCCCCAGCTCTTTGTCACACTCTGCCACTGAAGCGCTCCGGGACGCTACCCAGGGTGAAAGGCGCTATATAAATGCAAGTTGTGAACATTGCAGCATGTTTAGTTTTTTTATCCACTTTGGTACAGTAACAATAACATTGTTAAAAATGTTTTAAATTGGAATACATGTTTTAATTTTAATTTCACCGGTCATCACATTTCTGGTTAAATAATTGCAGCCTTTGCCCTACTCCATATTCCAAACCTTTACATGTTTAATTTCTTCAAAATGTGCAGGCCTGATTTGCCTTATATTTAAAGCTCTTGGATGACAGAATTAAAAAAAAACATGAAATACATAGCAAATCATCCACAGTAAGTTATGTAATTTACAGACATGTGCAAGCTAAGACTATTCCATTAGAATATTTTCAATTCTTTCTAATAAAAATTGAGTCTCTGAAAGGAACAATTTCTAAATTAAACAGAAGGCAAATACAACTTTAGGGATAAAATAAATCCTATCAAGATTTTAAATGGGTTGGCAAACAACTACTTTGGAAAATGAGGATTTAATTTTTTTATCAAAATAATAAAATTTATATTTACCACTGCAAATGCAATTTACTGGTTAATGATATTTCTTTTGTAGTTTTTTTTTCTGAGCTGCTGAATGGACCTCAACTGCGGATTGAAGTGACCAATAAATTGTGGGACACTGCGGTGCGCAATTGGTGCCCGCGCTTCGCCCACAAAATATACAGTCAATTCACTTTATAGTATATTCTGTAAAGCGCTTTGAGACGTCTCAAAGATGTGATAAGGTGCTATATTAAATGCAAGGATTATTATTATGGTTTTCTGCCAATTCATCTCAATGACTTTCTAAACAACCACCATATTAGGGGTACCCACCCTCTTTCTGGAAATGGCTGATTTCTAAGGGAGTATAAACCCAAAGGTATATGCAAATGTTGTGGTGAAAAGATTTTTTAAAAAAGGCAAAGCATAGCATTCATTTATTTTGTAGGAATCTTCTACATCTGCTTAAAATCCAATTTCTGTGAGATTGATTATCTCGATGTCCGAAAACAGAAAAAGACATATAAGTCAAGAATTTAAATTAAATACAAATAAATATAAATTATAATGATTTAAGTCAACGATGCAATCATTGAACTTTGCAGTTCTATGAATTCCTTGAAGTGCTATGTTTCGTTTGTAATAAAAATTAATCGTCTTTTGTTACCTATGTGCATGAGAGTCTCTGCTTTAGGAGCTGCTTTAGAAAATGCTTTAGGAATATTCCTTTTTGGGGTCAGCTGAGTGTCTAATACATGGAGAATCCTATCACCATGCTTAAGAGTATCCAAACCAAACAGAATTCCGTGCATCCCACCTATAAATGGAAATTCCAAAGATGTTTATTGGAAATGGAATGCTCACGCTTTCCCTGGAGGGATGAATCCTTATTACACAATTTCAGAAAGGATTAGGCACAAATTAACAAGAGCCATGGCTTGGGGACCCCAGAATGTACCTTGGGGTTTCTACGAGAGTCTAACCAGCTAAACCACACCGCTTGTCATCGGGAGCACTGTCTGGCAAGTTTTTCCGCTGCTTGTGCAGCGAGTATAATGCATACTACTGAGAACCCCATACAGGTTTACTATGATTACGAGATCATGTTTCCATGGAGCCATACTCAGCTACCCAGGGAATCTCTAGTGTCCACAGTGCAAGGGATTACAGTAAATTCCTGATATATCGTCACTCCAAGGGAAAAGAGCTCAGTGACTTTATCTAGGGTAACCATGGAGGGTTGTGGTGGCTGGGAGGACCTTCACTGTGCCTTAGCAGAGTGAGTAGCTTTTCAGTGTGGGCAGACGCACCAGCCCCCACGACTTTCACCTTAGTTGTTAAAACTGGTTTCAGTTAAGTTTAGCCATCTGCGTTTGTTCATTTTGCTCATTTTAACAACCTGAATCACTCAGACTCTTAACAATCAGGCAGAACCTCATAGATTAATTTCTACTCACAGAGATCTTACCACAACAGTCAAAACAGCCTACCAAGTGGCTGGCTGAACATGACTTACCCGCTTATCCCAAGAGTTCATATTTCTGGGCGGTGTAGCTAAATTCATTACGATCATATATCCAGAATATATCCTTACTCACTGGGATTTATAGAATACGACTATACATTAAAAGTAAGTAATGAAACAAAGGGGACCCTATTCACACTTTTGCAATGGGAAGCGGCTGGGATATTGACAGCATGAAAATAATAATAATAATCCTTGCAATTCATATAACGCTTTATCACATCCTTGAAAGGCCTCAAAGTGCTTCACAGAATACATTGTAAAGTGAATTGATTTTGTTGCTGAAACGAAGCAGTACAGCAGTAACCCACAAAGTCATGTATTGAGTGACCAATTCTTTTTAAGGGATTATTAAAAAGTGATCCGCCAATCGACTAACAACTGGGTTCCTACTTATTGGTAGGTAAACAGTTGTGTGGAGTAAGTAAACTTGCCCAACGTTCCACCCTGCCCAGGAATCAAATCCAGGTCTTTTCCCTTGCGAGGTGAGTGCTCTTGCCACTAAACTCCAGGACTCAATGATATCAGCCATGTGATGACATGATCCAGGGTTGACTTATTACTACCAACTGGCTCCTTTGTCCACCCTCTCACGCCTCGCCCATTCTCTCCTCCAACTCCAACTGCATGGAGATGCTTGATTTCCTTGAGACCAAAATCGAGGGGCCGCCTCCGCCCTCCCAATCGCCAAACTCATCTCTCCCTCACACTCCGGCCTCTAGCCATCCCTCTCTCCACATCTTCGAACCTGTCTCCTCTTCCTCTCTCACCACCACTATAACCCTCATGAAGCCCACCACCTGCTCCCTCGATCCCATCTCTACCCATCTCCTTAACTCCCAGCTCCACCTCCTCGCCCCTTTACTCTCAGACCTCGTCAATCCCTCCCTGTCAACTGGCACCAATCCCACACACCCCCACCACCCAAAACAGCTGTCATCAGCCCTATCCCCCAAAAAACCTTCCCTGCACCCATCCCCGCTCACTAACTACCGCCCCATCTCCAAATTCCCTTTCCTTTACAAGGTCCTTCAAAGAGTTGTAGCTTCCCAGCTTCACTCCTTCCTCTCCTTTTACGAATAATCCTTATCCTTGCATTTTGATATAGTGCTTTCCACATTTTCTAGACGTCTCAAAATGCTTCACAAAATATACTGTAAAGTGAATTGACCGTATATTTGTGGGAGAAACCCCTCCAATTGGATTTCTGTGCTGTCCACAGAAAGGAAACAGCCCCAGTCAAGGTGACAAATGATATTCTGTCTATCTTTGACCAGAAATACCCCTGTCTCCTCATCCTCTTTGACCTCTCTACTGCCTTTGATACTGTGGACCACTCCATCCTCCTCCACCACCTTTCCTCTCACCTTAACCTTTAAAGTTCTGTCCTTGAATGGTTTTAGATCATATCTCTCACACTGGCTCCACTTTCTCCTCCAGCCCCCGCACCGTCTCATGCAGTGTTCCTCAGGGCTCGGTCCTTTCCTCTTCAAACTGTACATGCTCCCTCTTGGTGACATTATCCACAGACATGGGATCAACTTCCACATATGTGTGGATGACACCCAACTCTGTCTATCTGCCTCCACCCTTGACTCCAGGACCACTGCTGTCCTGATAGAATATCTGTCAGACATCGAGTCCCGGATGAGAGCTAACTTTCTTCAGTTGAACGTCAACAAGACCGAGGCTCTCCTGATTGGCTCCCGTCAGCGCCAACATCCCGACACTCTGGAACACCCTTCCTCTATCCCTCCGCCTTTCCCGTTCCTTCCTCATCTTCATGTCGCACCTGGAAGACCTTCCCGTTCGATGGTCACCTTCCCCCGCCCTCCAGTTCGGCGTCGAGTTTCCGCCCCTGCAAGCGCTGCCCTGTGTGTGAGGCGCTGTTTAAACACAGGGATTATTATTATTATTATTATTAATATTATTATTATTACGTTGTTATATTTATGATATGACAGGAATGACGTCACCGCACAACTGAAGAGGGGGCGGCGGCGGGTGACGTGTTCGCACTTTGTGACGCGTCCGGATCTTGGCCCCGCCCCCACTCGGCGGCCATCTTAGAGCCGGAGACCGACCCCTTCCCTCCCCCCCGCGGAGACACGCCAGGGCTCCGGCACCGGCTCCCGCCCCACCCCACCCCGCCCCGAGGACACGGAGAGAGACGGCGACGGGAGCCGCCCGGCAACAGCCGCTCGTGGCGCGCAGAGAGCGCGGCCTCTCCCCGGCTCGAGGGAGATGTGAGTGGGAGGCCGCGGCCGGACACCTATCACCCCGGAGATGCGGCGACGCTGCAAGTGAGTGAGGCCCTGTAAACACCCGAGGACCCCCCTCCCCTCCCAGGCCCCGCTCTCGCTACACGGCCCCCCCGGGCGGGCCTCGGATTATGAGCCATGGACCCGCGGGTGTTGGACAGCCCGGTGACTCTGGTCATCAAAGCGCCCAACCAGAAATACAACGACCAGACCATCAGCTGCTTCCTCAACTGGACGGTGGAGAAGCTCAAGAGCCACCTGTCCAAGGTGTACCCCAGCCGGCCGGTGAGTACCACCCCCTGCCCGAGTCCATCTCACCAGACCCCGGGAGGGAGGGTCAGTACAGACCAGCTTTGAAGGGCCTGGGATTTACACCTCAACAACAACTTGCATTTATATAGGGGAGTGCATCGGAGCGCTTAATAGTGGTTGATGCTGAGCCCGGGGGTGGGGGGGGGAGGAGGTGACTGTAAACAGACTGGAAGAGGAAGGTCTTCAGGCGTGATCTGAAAATGGGGAAGGAGGAGCCAAGGTGGAGGGGTTGAGTTCCAAAGTTTCTGGCTGTAGTGGCTGAAAGCGCGGCTGCTGATGGTGGAGCTCCACTCAGTACCCGAATAACAACAGCAATTCTAAATTTATAGAACGCCTTTCAAGGGAGATGTTATCCTACTTTCCTACTTCTCTGTAGAATATATAGGTTGCTATGTCAATACATTGTTATTTCCTGATTCCAGCCTGAGTTAGCTAATACAAGTCTCTACACCCATTATCCTTAACCTAACTTTAATACTCTTGCCCCTACTATGTGCCTTCTCCTCCCCAAAGACAAATATCCATTAGTATAGAGTTATTGAGTGCTGCAACTTGTGTTGGAGGACTCTGCAGTGGTGAAGTAGTTGCAGAAATGTTAGGTTATTTCACTATAACTTTTCATTATTTTCTATGATTCTCCCCTCTACTACCATTCACAAAATCCAGGTCATCCAAAACTCTGCCGCCCGCATTCTTACCCGCACCAAACTCCCCGATAACCCCAGTCCTTGCCAGATTGCACTGGCTGCCTGTCCCAGAGAGGATCGACTTCAAGATCCTCACCCTTGTCTTCAAATCCCTCCACTCCTCTGCACCCCCTACCTCTCTGACCTCCTCTCTTCTCAAAACAGTTTTTTTTAAGGAGTTATTACCCCTGGAAAAGTGATCCGGCTACGGACCAAAAACTGGATTCCTTCTTACTTGCTAGGTAAACAGAGGCATGTGGAGTAAAGAAACTTGCCCGACATTTTGCCCTGCCGGGAATCGAACCAAGGTCTCTTGCTTGCGAGGCGAGACTCCAAACACTTAGTTACAGGACTTTATTAGTGATTCAAATCAACCTGATTTATTTGCAACAACAGCAAATTACATTTGTATAGTGCCTGTCAGGAGGATGACCCAAGATGCTGGACAGTCAGGGATCTGTACCCGACTTGGGTTGGGATCAGGAAGTGTGGAGGGCCGGTAGGAGGTGACCGATGGCACAGTCAACGAAGAGGTTATTGAAGGAGGCAAGGGAAGGGGTGAGGCGGAGGGACTGTGAGATGGAGTTCCAGAGGGTGGGGGCAGAGGCTGAAGGTCCGCCCGCCAGTGGTGGGTTGGGGAAAGCAGAGGACGTGTAGCAAGCCGGAGCCCGCTGAGTGGAGGGAGCAGACAGGTTGGTAGGGGATTAGGAAATCACAGAGGTAGGAAGGAGCAAGGCAGTGGAGGGCTTTGAAGATGACGACAGGGATCTTGAACTGTATCTTCTGAGTGAAGGGGAGCCAATTCAAGAGTGAAGTTAAAAAGTTCTTTCCGTTTCCCTCTTCGGAAGTGATGTATTGGACTTCAGGGATTTTCTCAAATCTGTTCCAGTACACAGTGTAAAATGTAACCAGGTTATTAAACTATGGTACTTGCTGTAGAAAATAGATTGACTCTTTGAGTTTTGAAACTGTTGTAATTGAAAACTCTTTTGCTGAATCCAATTTTTAAAGAATCAGCTTTGGTTTAGGTGCTTGGCTTCTTTATGACTTGTGGTGGGGTGGTCCAACCTTTGGCTGCTGAGAGCTGGATGGTGGATTTGAGAAAAGTCTCTGGCCGCATAAGCAATATTTTAGTGTTTCCCTTCGAGAAATGCAATGAGTAAGAATCGTGTAAAAATCCTAGGTTTTAAATTGTGTAACTGTATTACTTAATTTTTATGTATTAAAATCAAAACGCAAGATATCAACTCGGTATATGGAGCCTGAAGAACTGCAGGGCACTGAGTACAGTGCGGGCACTAGAACCCGGGTGGATTACATTGTCTCGTTCGCCTGGCACAAGGGACGAGAAGCTGGGCACGGATCAGGGAGTGTGGTTGCAGATACTGAAATCAGGCACCTGGGTACAGAGATTATTCTGTATCAAATGCAAGGATTATTCTTTAAAAAGTAGCCCGAGCAATGGGAGAGGGGGTTGTTGGGACATGGGTACGGAGCCCCAGGTACTGGGTGCGTAAATGGTTCATGGGTCAGATGGAGTCATCACCCCTGCTGGATGTGGCTTGCGTTGGACCAACCTGCCTTGTGGGATCAGCAGTGATTTTATTGCAATTTATTAAATAGTAGTGCTACTTGCACAGCAGTGTGAGATGTCTTAATGCAGTTATGTACACTGAATTTCTGATTTGGTCATCTGATGTAAGGAAAAATCAGACCAATTATTGATTGTTCTTATATAGAACCTTGAGTTTTGAGGAGGGTCCCCTTTGCCTTCCCAATTTATTAATTATAAACTTTATTTGTTCATAGAACTGCTAATCTAATTGATGCACCGCCCCTGAGGAGACCAGGGTGTTTGGTTAATTACTGGGTCAACCACATACTCACTCAATAAATGCTTCCATTTTTTACGATGGATTGCAAGCGAATTGACACAATGCTGTGTGCAAAGTGGCTGTTGCATTCACCTACCAAATACATAATCACTCCATTTTACAGTATTCCCTGTAGAGCACTTTAAGGCATCCTCGTGGCGAGAAAGGTGTTACATCAAGTGTAATGATTTTTTTTAGTACCAACATCCCTTGTTCAATTATCAGTGACTGAGCCTTGCTTTACCATGCTCCTTTGGAACTCTTCCAAACCCACTTCATCTTGCCACCTTTCCTGCCTTCAGAAATCTCATTAGAACATTGCCTGTGATAATCATCTTTATATTGTTCCATGCTTTGACTCTTTTATTGCACCACCTCATTTATCAAAAGCATTTGAGACATTTTTTCATATGGCAGTTGTATTAAAGTGCAAGTTGTTTCACAGACTTTAATGGAGAAATGAAAATGTAATAGATTGAGCTAAATACTAGGATATGGCAGCAGATTTTCTAATTTTCAATTCATGCATTGTGGTAAATGTGTTTTACAATATTACCCTTATCGCTTTTTAATTATTTGAGGATTTTTTTTACTTTTGACTGTCCTGCTTTATCCTGCTGTGAGGTGGAAAGGGAATTGGAAAATTAAACATTTATCATAATGGATGCTGTTTTGGAGATGAGAATGCTCCCTTTTATGAGTATATTAAGGAATAGGGGTTAATTTTGAAATCCGTGGTGATCTGTAGATCAGGGAAGTGCATCTTTTCTGCTCTAAATACCTCAAACTGCCAAGATTTCATGTTGCCTTTCAACTTTTTAATTTAAAAAGTTTCTGGCAAAGTACAATCAATATAAAGTACTTTTTTTCTCTTGCCCAAGCTAGCTATTATTGCAAAATTTCTGAAATTGACTATCAGAAAATAGGTCCACAGAAAATTCTGCTGGTTATGGAAGCTATTGCACTGAGGAAGTGGCTAGCTTCCCAGTACTGCAGACTGGTACTGGTACTACACTGAGCCAGTGGTGGCTGACCCGCAGGGCCGTCAAGAACCCCCACACCCTCCCCGAAAAGATTTGCACAAGACTTGGTAAGTCTATGTTTGACAGTTAGTTTTCATTTTACAAAAAGAAAATGTATTTTGTTGGCCGACCATAAAGGTTGGCCATCACTGCTCTAGACCACCTAATTTGTGGTTTACTTTTTACAGTTTCAAAAGTCCTTTCCTCAAATGTTTCCCTTTTATTTTTGGAAAATCTATAGAATCGTTTTGTGTATCACACTCATTTATCTGTCTCAGTACCTCAGCCATCTGTCTTGTTAGGACTACTTTTTCTGGCTGAGAAGGTGTTGGTAAAAGTCCTCTGGTTTCTTTCTGCTTTCGGCAAAGTTTTTGCTCTGTTAATATTTCCCTACAGTGATACAGTTGAGTTAGGTTCCCTAGTATTTGTGGGAGATACAGAGGGGAGATGGTGACACTGGTTTAAGTAGCTTGAGATCTGCTGCATATTTTGTTTTGCTATTCTCCAAAGACCAGAAATGCATTTTGGTTTTCTTGCTGCCAAAAGTTTGAAATGAGTTGCACAAACAGCAGCACAGTTACAAACAGTAAGAGCTGGACGTCCATGGGACTGGTGGCAGCATTCCACTGTCAGGTCATATCAGTAACTTCAGATTTAGTTTGCATAGAAGTTGAGCCCAATTTTAATGAAAGAACTTATTTTACAGTGCCTATTCATGCCTGTCATTGTGCTTTACAATGATATTGTCAAGTGCATTGACAGTTTTTCTAATCAAATGTTGCAACTGTTTTGTGCACAACAAGTTCTCACAAATATTCCTGAGGTGAATAACTTTAACTGGAGGATTGTAGGCCAGAATTATAAGAGAAATTCTCTTTTCTTTTTAGTATTATCATGGGATTTTTAATACCCGCCTGGGTGCATTCAATTTAAAGATTATCCAAAGAATGGCACCTCCATTAAGGCTGCAGGGATCCCCTCATCCCTTGCTATATTTCTCCTTCTCAGTCTCTCACCACTAATGAAAGTGTGTACTGCACGCTGATTCAGATGTTAGGCAAATTAAGAATTTTATGTCCTGAACTTTACAATTCCAGTGGCATCTAAAAGTGGCCCTGATTTTGTATCAGAATGTGCATGCATTGCTTACATATTCCTGTGAATTGTTAAAAAGTCAGTGTAGCCACTTGAGTTTTGATTTTAGTTGGTAATGCATTCAGGCAGCCATGAACGGCATTGTTGACTTCTGGTCTTACGATTAATCTTATTACAGTAGTAATATTCTTTACCATTTAGGAAATACCAAATCATTTTGGCCATTTAACATTGTACATTTGCATTTGAATAGAGAAATTCATAAAATATTGCGGTTCCTTGCCCTGGTGCTTGACTTGTTCTGTATTTCAGAGACTATCTCCTTTGTTGTATTTCTGTTTAATGGGAGTACATGAGTATATAGGGTGGAAGAGAATGATGCCCAGAGAATCTTCTGCTAATTCACTGTGCCTTATTGCTCAAGCTTGCAGTGATGATATCATTAATGCTTGTTTTGCAGTGTGACTGACATTGAGTACATTGGCTTAACTGCTGCTGACACATAAATTGACTCAAAATTGATTAAAACCCTCAAAGATACTTTTTATAAAGTGATTTGAAGCCTATAATTAAATCTTTGAATTCAGATGATGTATAGACTGAATGACCAGATTAATCTTGTATGCTGTCTCATTGATAATCGAGAAGAGTATTTGATGTGCAGTGGTTTGGGAATCATCTACTTGCATTCCCTTTCAGACGCAGGAGAGGCAGAAATTGGATAGAAAATGGGAGCAATAATAATACTCAAAGCTGTTCCAAGTGGAATTTTATTAATTTCAGGCACTTGTATAATTGTTTATTTACTTTAGTGTTGATGATTTTGTGCTGCTATAATATTTGTGTTTGCACCGGCTTGAGCAAGCACAAACTCATAACAGAATATTCCATCTGATTTGAAGCTTTCCAATGCCCTACTATCCCCTGTAGCAGAATAATACAGCTGATAATTTATTGTAACTTTCCATTCCTCTCTAAATTGTCAATCCTGACTGCAGTCAGTTCCTTTTTGTACTTTGCTACCAAACTTGTTTGAGCATCATAGCAAGGGATGACACTTACTGCATTGTATTTTTATATCATGATTTCAGTGGCTGTCTTGCAGTCTCTTCTTACAAAGAAAAACAAGTTATCAATATTGAAAAATGCAGCATTTTGATTTAAACTATAAACTATTAACATGATAGGAAACATTAAGCCCAGTTAATCAGACTATGACTGTTTTGAATAATTGCTCCCTGCCATCATCTTGGTTTTTGTAGCACCTTGAAGTTGGAGTACTCTGAATAAAAAAAGCAAGGTTTTAGTAGAAATTGACCAATAAGAGGGCCATTTTCTCCCAATCCGTCCTCTATATCCCCGGTACGGTACACTTATTTTAGTATATCTTTAATTAAATGCCCCAATTTGATTGGTTGTTGCATGTCCTGAAATTTTTAGGCAAACAGTTGAGGGGATTGGGATCACCGATGTCATAATCACATGTGAGGTATTGATGGTGAGACTTGGCGCCAAGGATGCATTAAACAGCATAATACTTAGCTTTAAGAGGAAAAATTAAATAACAAGACACATTCTTATTCTGGCGTGATCAGGCTGCTCATGCTATGGGATAAATATTACTCACACTACAGCTGCGCTTTCTAGTTTGACATGAAGAAATGTCAGAAGTTGATCTCATGTTAATCTTTAGATGTCTGTCACTTGCCTGAAAAAACTACATGTGGAACTATATAGAGGCCAATTGTGAGTCTTAATTTCAGATATATGAAACTCCCAAAGTATTTTTAAAAAATAGGCTTAGAATAGGGTGCTTTGAAATTAAATAAAAGTAAAGACTAAAAGTTACAAAAAGTGAGGGCTGTTTGTAAAGTAATTTATTTTTATTTTGCTAGCTGCTTTACTGTACGATGGCTCTGTCTAATTTCTGTGGCTTTTCATAGCACATAAGTAATTTAAACTTAAAATTACAGTTTAAGAGTTTTATATATTGTACAAAAGGCCCTGTCTTATTGCTAAACCACCCAAATGATCATTATTCTTTTGGATCTGGATGAGAGATGAAATGTACTTGAAATTGTTTTCTTTGCCTCTTGGGGCTTGACATTACGGGGAGGTTGAAAGCTGATTAGAGAGAAGCCACTCCATTGACCTGCTTTTGAATAGTTACCCTACATTGATTTCAGGCTATGAGTGTTTTGTAGTTCCACCTTTGACTTTAACAGCATTTTATTATGTTTGGATATCCATTGTTTGTCAATTTCAGTATCAAATTAGCTTGGCAAAAGAGTAAATATTTAGCTGGTTAAGTGCTCCTGAAATCTTAAAATATTACATGTCTTGTTACTTATTTTAGAGTTGAACTAAACATTATAACCACAGAATGTAAATGGCTTTTAAAGTATTAGTTTACATGTAGGTTTGGTGGGGCATACAAATAAATTTGAAATTGCTATGCAAAACGGGGGAAGTAAATAGAAATCAAAAATGATAGTGCTTGCATTTGATATATAGTGCTAGTGCCTTTCAATTCAGCACATCTCAAAGCACTTCATGATTTACTGTAAGGTGTATTGTATTTTGTTTGCGAATGTAGCAGTTACTTAACTTATTTAAGTACATTATTTAAACTTCATAATAATGCTATGTTCATACAAATTATTGGTTAGACAATTGGAGTACTGCATTTAGTTTGAAGCATCGAATTTCAGGAAAGATTTTAAGACTGGAGAGGGTACAGAGGAGTTCTACAAGAATGGTTGAGGCGCTTTAGTTCTGATGAAAATTTGGAGAAGTTGGATCTATTTTCACTGGAGTGTGGATACGATTGAGAGGGGACCTGATAGAGATATACACAGTTCTGAGGGTTTGGGGAAGGGAGATGCTATTTCCACTGGTAGGGGAATCTGACTAGGGGACATAGTACTGAGATAGTCACAAGAAGAGTGAAACGAGAGTTTAGGAGAAATGTCACTCAGTTTTGGGATGTGGAATGCCCTGCCAAGTAAGGTGGTAGAATCAGAGTCAGTTGCGGGCTTCAAGAGAGAACTAAACAGGTGTATGAAGGATAAAGGCATCAAGGAGTATGGAGATAAGTCAGGGCAGCAGGATTGACAAACACCTTGCTCTTAGAACCGGTGTAAACTCAGTGAGCTGAATGGCCTCCTTCTGTATTGTAAATTTCTCGGATTCTATTTCAAATTACTATTGTAATCTCTAACGGTTGGGGCGGGGTGGAGGGAGACCTTCCAGGTACTTCATATTCTCATCCATACCAAATTCCACAAGCCCATCACCTTAATGTTCGCCTGGCTCCCTTTCTCCTACCACTCAAATTCAAGGTTCTCTCCCTTTCCTATGGTCCTCACCATTCATGCCCTAGCTCCTCCCTATCTCTGATCTGCCCGCATCCTCCGCTCAGCTGATGTCTGATCCTTCAGTCATCAGCTCCCCCAACCTGTGGAACTCCCCATTTCTATCCATGCACATTGCCCTCTTTCAATCTTTAAATGCAACCTTAAAATCTACCTCTTTGACTACGCCTATGGTCACACCTCTTCCTCCCTTTCTCAGTGACCGACCCTGCCCTGTGAAGTGCTCTTGAGACATTATCTTCTGTGAAGAGCATTATATTATATGCAAGTGGTTGTTTGGAAGTTTTATCTATGTGTATGTCTGGGTACTTTACACAGTTCAAATAGATATAGTACAGTCACATTCCATTAGGTTTTAGTTGACTTTTAAATAAGGATTACCGTGCTTGTAAAATGATTAACTCAGACAGTAGGATTACTATGTTTTTTAACTGAAATTTAATTGAGTACAGTTGAATTTAATAGTAGTGCTTTTATTATAAATTTGTTTTTGCTAATTACGGAAGGGAATCTTGTATAACTTACCCAAATGGATCACGATTCATTGTCAAATTTGGTCCGTGTAACAAACTTAGCTAACTCGATTCTGACTCATTTGTGAATATCAGTTAATTTACACAAGCCTTGAAAATATCGTTAAGAATAGTAGCTTGGTGGAATACAACTTGATATATTTTAAGCAGATATTAATATACATTAAAACTTAGGAGCTTATAATATATAAGTTATGCCATCTTGCCTCTGGTGCCCTCAAAGGCTTTGCTCAAGAATAGAAATTCAGACATGAACTTAATTTGGGGGTAGGTAAAGTAGCAATAGTGTACAGTTCCTCGTTTTGAATAAAGTATCAGTATATCTGAGAAGAATATCTTTTGCTTGAATTTTAACTTTTTCTAATATGAACAGTTCGGGTTATCAAGCATAAGAAATCTTTGCGCAGGTTGAAGGGATACAAATTACAGCCGGATTCCATTATAAGACACCTCTGTATTGTAGAGTCTAGTTATAGCTCAGTTGTACCATGGACAGCGGTGTACTGGAAGCTCTTTGTGCTGATTGACTGGCTTCCTGCACCTGCAGGAAATTATGTCAGTGTTTATTTTCCTGCGCATTTGCAGCATTCAATCTTGTCAATGCTTCTTGCCCATAGAATGCATAATGCGGAAGAAGCAAGGCCAACAGTTATCATTTTTATTCTAACGCTCATTATAATGCGGGATCTGATTTTATGGACCCAAACCACTGTGTAATAACATAGACTATCTAGTTAGCCGACTATTAACTGCTTAGGACATAGACTGATAGTCATTTATTTGTTTTTGATTTTGACCAAAATATCTGGGAAGATAAATTGCTGGAACTCCTAGCATATGGTACAGAAACCCAGACGTCCTTTCTATTAAAAGACGCCATGGATAAGGTATTAGCAGAAGTGAATATTAAGTGTTTTGTAAGGTGAATGTTTTAAAATTGTTTTTTTTCCCTTCTCTCTCCTTGCACAGTCCACCAAGGATCAGAGACTTGTGTATTCTGGAAAACTTCTCCCTGATCATTTGCAGTTGAAAGACATTTTCAGAAAGGTAATTCAAATCTCTGTATCTGTGCTGCTTTATTTCTACAAGCAGTTTTGGTTATGCTTAGCTAGGTTGAAGGTTCAACTGAAAGTCCCATTTTGGTTGTTTTGTAGTGTTAATGTACAGTGTTAGTGTTGGAAAAGTATGATATACGTAGGGATGTTCCACAACATTTGACTCAGCCATTGCTCTTTTTGATATTGGTGATTGGTGAAAAATAGTATTGATTAATATAAGCATCGTAGTTTGTGTGATGACCTGATATTTGTACTATTTTGGTACTTATATTGGGGTTTCCCAATTAATGCAGCTACCAAGCTGTCTACTGTATTTTCCTGTTCTGGTTCCTATTTAGTTATCACTAGAACTCTTTCCTTTGGACTAACATTTGCTCTAAATTTTAGTGGTAATATTTTTTGGACTCTGATGTATTAAACCTAACTAGTGCAAATGTTCAGTTTTCTTAGATAACTAAATATGGATGAGTGCTCTGCTTCATATGCTTGAATCCTATCCTTGATAAAGTTGCTAGTAATTTGGTCTTCTGGTTGATTCTGACCTGTTCAATATTTATTTAATTCATCATACAAATTTGTCCCCAATTGCTGTTGTCTGCCATTCTACAAGATCTTCACTCTTCTGCTAACTAATTCAGTGCCATCCCAAGAAAGCTTTGGATGTGGATTTTCATGAATTTCTTTCCATTCAAAGGGTTTTGAAAATTTGGAATGCAGTGCCACAATATGTATGCCATGGATGCAGAAACGAGTGGGGTCTGTCATGATCTAACAAAGTGGCCACACAAGCTCGACAGATTGAAGCTCAAACTCCTAATTGACTTATTCTTTCTTCCTCATCTCACTTGAAATGTAGCAAGACGAGTATCACATGGTTCACCTAGTATGCTCTTCAAGAACTCCCCCAGGATCACCCAAACCTAGTTATCGGAGCAATGGAGTCATTGGAGCTGGAGCTAATGGTGACACAGGAGTTAATGGTGATGCAACGGTAAATGTATTTCCATTTTATTCAAAATAAATAGCTATTTTTAAAATGTGCATATTTCAAAAAACTTGTGAAGCAATAATTTAAACCTGCTCAAGAAGTCTGCCACCTATGTAACATTGTAAACTGAGGAAGATTTATAATTTTTCCATCTGAACAAAGTTGTACTCAGTCATTCAAAAATGTCTTGTCAGTTTTCGATTAACCCTGCATAAAGTGCCTTTTCCGAAATTAAAAATTGGTATTGTATACTAAATTATTCCAGTGTCTCATTTATGGATTAAAAAGTGATGTCTCCAACAACTCGCCCTTTGATTTTCACCAAATTCTAACTTACTTGCTTCTTCTGGGTTAGCTAACTTGTCAGCTCTGTATCTGAAAAGTATTTCAGTTGCTGGTCATGGGATTTACTGACCTCAGCCTCCTTGCCTTTGTGATATTTGGAAAGTTGATTGCTTTATTTATTTGGAGATTATGTTAAAATAGTCACCTGAAAACAGTATATTAAGATTAATGGAATATTATTTTTTATTTATTTCGAATATTCCTTAGATTACAATAAATTGGATTTGTCTACAAGCCAAACCAGTTATAATGAGCCTCAATTATAGCGGGAGTCTGTTTATAAATTATAGGTCCACACAATACCAAAAGTGATGTACACTTTGCCTTAGTGCTGAGCTGCTGGTTTCAAGAAGAGCAGCTGTCATTGCTTTAAGTGCTGCACAGGATGCACTGCTGCAGTCAATTCACATAAGAAATGACGTCCATGACAATGTGAAAAGTTGACCGGCGTGTTTTTTTTTTGCACATCTCGTTAAAATATGGGAGTCTGAATTTATGGACACAAACTACCATATTATGACAAGTTAACCTTATTCGTCTTGCTTTTATCTTGTTTCTTTCTGTTCACTTTCTGAGAGTACTCCTGTTTAGAAATTTTATTCTGAGCATTTGTTGCTGGCACAGAGTGTGGTATTTCCTGGCCCAATTATTTGAGCTGAATGAATATCACAGCCAATTACTGCTGACCCACCTCCATTCTTGGCCATTTCAGTTGACAGTAATTATTCCCCAGTTTTGGGTTGGATCGAGCAAGAAAGTTGCTGGGTACAATCCTACCTTTCCTGCATTATTGTTACCCATTTCTTGGATACAGTAGTCACCACTAACAGCATGATGAAGATTGCTGCAATCAATTTGTGATTGTGGCACAAATATACAGCAACAATCACTTTACAGTCTATCCTGTGGAGCGGTTTGAGATGTCGATGACATGACGAGGCACTATATCAAATGCAAGGATTATTATTATTTATGATCCAACCTTTGTGACTCTCAAGTGAAGAGAGAGAAGTAATCAAATTTGGGCAAAACAAAAAACGCTAAACGTACTAAATGATCCAGTACTTCCTGGATACAAATTCATTTTCCAATTTATTAGAAATAAAATAAAGCAAATTATTTGGATTTTACTTTTTTTCAGAGTTCTGATAGTTCAGTTGCTACATCGCCCTCTTCATCTCCCAGTCAAGAATCCTTAATTGGATCGACAGGTTCTAGTTCTGCTGATCTGAGGCATCGTAACCTTTCTCCAGTTCCTCCAAATGGTTTCCAGCATGTAATGCAAGGGTAAGTGGTGTTAAGGTAAATACTATAATAAAATTAATACTGACTCGTATTTGCACCAAATGTGATCTGAAGCAAGCGTATAGCAGCAGTAACATTAGAGCATTCTTTTCTGGGATAACTGAATTCAGGACCTGAGTTCTCCTAGTCTTGGCTTTTGCCAACCTGCACCTAATGCTATGCAGAATTAGGTAAGCAGGATGCATCCCTCCATTCCAATGAACATCTGGAATTTCCATATGTTGGTTTGGATACTCTTAAACATGGTGATGGATTTCTGAAAACCAAAGGTCTCAAAATCTGTTTCTGAACTGATTCAAACCAAAGAAAGAGGAAGCCTAAGGTCAAATTTGGTCAGCTCATCTGTGTAGGAGGGATAAGTGTCCAGGGCCTCTTTCCACTCAATTTAAACGTATCTTTTGGTTGTACCATAATGATGTGGACATAACAGTGTGTGAACTAGCGTGTTATGGCTTCATAACCAATCAAACAAGGCTGAATTGCATATTTCTATGGAATTGTTCACTCAAATGATGTCTGTAGGTTGGGCAAGTGATCTTAAATTAAACATGTATGAGGTAAGCATCTTAATTTCGTGGTTTTGGGCATGTGTTTTTATATTAATAGTGTTGTGCATTTCTCTTGCCTTCTTCAAATGTCCTTTACCAAAACATGTGGCCTTGATCTTGTGGAATGACCTTGACCACAATCAAATAGTGGTGCACTGATGTAACAAAATCTCAACTATATCTTTGTGTGTATTCCATATGGCTGGAGTTGTCAAACCATTCTTTTTCTCTCCAATATCATTGTAGGAGTTTTCTATATTGTTGAATGGAACACCTTAATAAATCAATTATTTTTAAAAAGTACAATTTGAATGCTTAGATTACTTTGTTTTATATTCAGCATCAGTGCTTGTTATAAAACGTGTTTAACTCTTAGCGAAGACTTAAACAGGAAGATATTCTGAGGAAATACTTAATGTAAAGTAAAGCTTGTCCTAGTAGGTATCCAGTGCAGTACTAGGCCATACAGTAGATTGGAGGTTCAGGTCCCGGTCTGCCCTAAGTTAGCTGATCTCAGATGGAGTGCTGTAATTGACCTCTGTGTACCAAGAGTTGCGAAGGGGAAGTTTAGTCTGGAGAAGTGAATTTCTGGTGTTTATTCCTAATTTCTATGACATCTATTTTGGATCCGCTCTGGTGATACAAATATTTCTGGTAACTACACCAAAATCCTCTTCTCCCACCCCCACCCCGGCAGACCCAGTCAGCTTTACTCCACCTCTGTAACATTTCCCACTTCTGACCACTACCTCTCTCCTCGGGTTGCTGAGACCCTAATCCATAGCCTCTAAACGTTCACGCAAATCTAGATAAGCCATGGTTCATCGTTGGTATTTGTTCAGTTTTTGTTGATTTAGTATTTCTTGATTAATGGCATAAATTGTGAAATTTCAATCCAGAAAATCTATTTTGTTGGCAAACCATAAAGGTTGGCCACCGCTATGTTCAGTATTTTAGGCAACATAGAAACAACAACTTGTATTTATGTAGCTTTCTTTGTCACGTAGGATACTGTCTCAGAGCACTGAGGGTTTTGATAGTAGAAACCATGCCATTTGTATCTAAATTTTTTAACCTGAATCTGATTGTATTGTGGTTGAGTTTTGTGTCTAGAAAAGTAATCTAAGCATTGTAAAACTACATGCATGCTGTTAAGATAAGTCTGCCCTGTTTACACTTCAGACCTAACAGGGGGGGCTCTGAGTGATAAGACTGCAGTGAATGTGGCCACCAGAGAAGCAGAGAAGGAGTGAAGAAGCTTTTGTTGTGGGAAGCATCTCCATTACCACAGTAACAACTAGGTTGATGGAATACCGATACTGGTTTCACATCTGCTGCTGTGTTTACATCAGGGAGATACTGGTATGAAAGCGCTGCAAGGCTCTGGCTGAGGAGGTAAGTTTTCATACCAGTAGGGTTTACACTAACTTTCTACTGGTATGGCCGCAGACTAGTTTCATACCTGTAAAAAAGAGGTGGTAACAAGGAACTAAAATTAATCAGTTTAGAATTCAAAAATGTTAGAAATCATGCAGATTTGCTCAAATATCTAATTTTTTTATCCTGTTTGTATGTTCTGGATGTGAATGAATATACAGTATATAAAGCTCAAATCTGTTTGAAAGGTCAAAATGCAATACAAGGCCAAAATCAGCTGTATAGGAAAGATTGGGGACAAGAAAAGGGAACTTAGCCTATTAGCCCTGCTCCTTCCAAAGACGGGACAAAATCTTCTTGCTGATGAGCTTCACCTGACCTACTTTTGATTCTCTGAAGAATAATCTGCATCAATACTCCATTTCCACAAGGACCATTGATTTCTTTCCTCTGCACACAGTTGTGTCCTGTTTATTTGAGTCTATATTCTGGTTTTTATTTGGTGTCAGCCTGGCTGTTAGTTGCACTCTCGCCCCTGAGTCAGGAGACAATGAGATCAAGCCCCATCTCAGAATTTTAAACTCTCGCAGGTCCAGACTGACACTCCAGTACAGTTGTGTAGTGGGGAATGCTACATTGTTAGAGGTGCTGCCCTTCAGATGGGACATTAAACCGAGAGCGCGGATGCCTGTTCAGGTGGATGTTAAAGAAATCATGGCAATATTCATGAAGAGAAGGCAGTTTCTTCTGGTATCTAGCCATAGATACTCCAGATAAAGTTGGTCATTTATTTCATGGCTGTTTGTGGAACATTGCTTTAGCATTTCCATGTAAATGGCAATCCAGTTCTGAAGGAGCTAATGGATGCATCATCAACTACTTTTGTTTGGAGCATGTTTGTTCCATAACACTCCTCATCAACTTTTTCTCTTCATTAATACCTGAACTGAAATGTAATGTTACTTTGAAATAAAATTTTAATAATCCCATATTTTGTAGCATCCACAATATATGAAAGTAAAATTTGTTCTGTCTACAATATAAATCAAGACATTAAATACCCTGGCCAGGGCAAAATTCTAGTCCAAGTAGGCACTGTTCACTGTCATTATCTCCCAAGTTTATCAGTTTTGAGTAGCCATTGGTATCTCATTGTGTCTTCCAGACATGGAGTTGGTCAGTTTCCAACGCATCCAGGGATTCCAGGTGGCTTTCCAATGTATTCTGTGTACAGCCCACAGCATATCCTTTGGTGGCAGCAGATGTACGCACGCCAGTACTACATGCAGTAGTAAGTACTCATTTCTCAGCTGTGAGGAAGGAATACTGTAAAAATGTAATTATTGCTTTGTTTTAGGCTTTGTTTTATATTCTTAAACAACAAGATGTTTAAATTCTGTGCATTTCCTTTGCAATTGGTAGTTGCATTTTTTTCTGATGTTTTACTTTTTAATGATGCTGTAAGTGGAGTCCTGTAGCTCAGTGGTTAGAGCACTCGCTTTGCAAGTGAGAGACCTGAGTTCAATTCCAGGCAGGGCGAAACCTTGGGCAAATTTCCTTACTCCACACACCTAATAATAATCCCTCCAAAAAAAAATAATAATAAAAATTGGTCATTTTCAATCCATGACTGTTTGTGGGACATTGCTGTGCACAATTGGCTGCCACGTTTGCCCACAAATATACAGTCAATTCACTTTACAGTATATTCTGTGAAGCGCTTTGGGACGTCTAGAAGACGTGAAAAGTGCTATATCAAATGCAAGGATTATTATTATAAGAAATCTAGAAAATTCTCCCACCATCCACATACTCACCCATACTAAACTCTGCACCCTATCACACCAGTCCTTGCCAGGCTCCACTGGCTCCCTATCACAGAACAGATCGATTTCAAGATCCTCTCACTCATTTAAAAATCCCTTCATGCCCTGGCAGCTCCTAATTTCCGATCTGCTTTCTTCTCAGTCCACTACCCGCCGACTGCTTGGCTAGTTCTGGCCGCCTGCTCATCCCTTAACTCCCTTTCCATCATTGGCAGCCACTACGCTTTAGAATTCTCTTCCTCAATCCCTCCACCTTTCCCCCTCCTTGCCCTCTTTAAGATCATGACTGAAGACCTTCCTCTTTGACCGTGCTTATAGAAACCTCCTCCCTCCCCGGGCTCGGCATCAAGCTCTGCCATTGTTAAGAGTTCCGAAATATCACCCCACATGAAGGACGTTATATAAATGCAAGTTGTTGTTAGAAAATACTTATTTCTGATTTGGTTAGATTTACATGTTTTAGTCTGTATTCGGTGTAGTTTATCCCCATTTGCACAAAGGTTAAGTTATTCTTGAATAATGAATGTGGAAAATGTATTTCCTTCCATCTTCTGCTAGAATTTGTTGTACTGCTTAGGCAAAGGCAAAATAGCTTTTCTATATTATTACACATAAACCACATCCTATGGACATTGTGCTATAGAGAAATCCAGCTCATGACATCATATGTCTTTCACCATTGATGGATGCCTTTGTTACTCTTTGCTTAAGACTGCTATATCTGTGCGCAATTGGCTACTGCATTTCGCCCAAAAACATACTGTCAATTCACTTTACAGTCTATTCTGTGAAGCGCTTTGAAATGTCTGGAAGACGTGAAAAGCGCTATATCAAATGCAAGCATTATTATTATAACATATTTCACTAAAAATTATTCCATTTTTTGAGCAAGTTCTGTAATCTGCAATGGAGCATAAGGTAACCTCTGAAGAGCACACTTAGAAAATGTCGCCCCAAACAGTGCTTCTTTGGTGAAAAAATATTTCAGTTTTCTTCCCCCAGAGTACTCGACAGAGGATTTTTTTGTGGATAATTTATTTGTGTATTGGTGGGAGGTGGAGGAAGGGGGGGTTTGGATTAGAGGAGGACAAGGAGATTACAGAATATTTTTAATTAAGAATTTTCAGTCATCGATTTCAAATCTTGTTGACATACTCATTTTCTTTGTATCTATGCCAGGTGATTCAGAAACGGTTGTGTTTCGTAAGCACTTAAAGATGTAAGGAATCTGCCTAAGAGAGTTACTGAACTGAATAGTGTGAGAGAGTTTAAACTATAGGGAGTGTGTCCACAGCACTGAACAGCATGCAATACTGTGATTTGGGACTGCCAATGAGAAGCTCACTGGAGTAAGAAACTAATATTCTCACTGATCAATATGGATACCATTCTGATGTTTGGAGTAAAATGATGCCTTATGATGCCTGGTGAAATAGGGCTTTGAGTTAGTATGTTTTACTGACAGAGTGCAAAGGTTTTTCATATTGATGTATCATGTTGATGAGCACAAACTGTCTTTTTCTTCTAGCCAAGCTGCAGCTAGGCTCTCGGGACCTGCCACTGCACAGCAATCTATACCTGCAGCCTCTGAGCCTGTGAATCCTGAGCCAAATCGTCCAAATGAAGCTCCAGCTGCACCTATTGCGGCTGTCCCGGAGAATCGACCTGTGAACCAGAATATTCAAATGAATGCACAGGGAGGCCCAGTGATGAATGAAGAGGACTTGAATCGTGATTGGCTAGACTGGATGTACACAGTCTCCCGAGCAGGCATACTACTCAGTATTGTGTATTTCTACTCATCCTTCAGCCGTTTTGTGATGGTGATGGGAGCCATTTTGCTGGTTTACTTGTAAGTAATAACTCATCTTATTTCAGGATTGAGTTCACAGTTTAACTCAAAAATGTTCCCAAAAGGATTCTCTCCTTTCAACAAATAGCTTTTCCCTTTTTCAATGAAATCTGATTCTGCAAATGAGCAGGATCAGAAATATTAGCTGCTGTTTTTAGTAACCTCATCAAATAATTTTGTCAATCTTCCAAAAAAAGTCCAAAGATTTTCGAAGAAATCCAGACCAATTCCATCACTTTGAAGATCCTGAACACAAAAAATTGGTTTGCAAATAAATATTCAGTTGCTTTACTACAAAGATGAATACTGAAAAATGCAAATTTATTTTCAGTAAACTTCAAAGAATACACTCCCATTAACAAGGACAATTGTTCACATCGCTGCTGGTCCAGTCCAATATTAGTACTGATAGATTGCGAGAGCGGTTCTGATGAAAAAGGCTTTATCTCAACCTTTCAGAATACCAAAAACCCATGTCCTCCCAGTTCAACATGATGTTTGTGAGTTCAGAGTTCTGACCTCAACACACAACAACAACAACTTGCATATATATAGTGCCCTTCATGCAGGGTAGTGTCCTGGAGCGCTTGACAGTGGCAGAGTCTGACCCTTGAGACAGCGGGAGGCGGGAGGTGATCTTAAGCACGATCAGAAAGGAAAGTCTTTACAATAACAACAACTTGCACTGATATAGCGCCCTCCATGCAGGGTAGCGTCTCAGAGCTCTTAACAGTGGCAGAACCCGATTCCAAGCTGTATGGGGGAGGTGGCCATAAACACGGTTGAAGAGGAAGGTTTTCAGGCAGGACTTGAAAAAGTGGTAGGGGGCAAGGCGGAGGGATTGAGGGATAGTCCACCAGAGTTTCAGGGTGTAGTGGTTGAAAGTGCGACCTCTGATGATTGGGCGGAGGATGCGAGGGATGAGCAGGAGGCAGGTACCAGTCGAGCGGAAACGCCAGCTGGTGGATTGGAGAGAGGAGGTCGGAGAGGTAGGGAGGTGCCAGAGAGTGAAGGGATTGGAAGTTGGGAGGGAGAGGGCAAGGCAGAAGGATTGAGGGAGAGAGCTCCGGCGTTTCGGGGTGTTATGGCTGAAGGCATGGCCACCGATGGTGGAGCGGAGGGGGCAAGGGACGAACAGGAGGACAGAGTCAGCCGAGCAGAGGCAGGGTGTGGGTGAGTGGGGGCATAAGGAAATCGGATAGGTAGGGAGGTACAAGGGCATGAAGTAATTTGAAAACGAATGAGAGGCTCTTGAAATCCATCTGTTCAGTAATTGGGAGCCAGTGGAGCCTGGCAATGGACAACACACTTCCTGATAAGTCATCCAAATTGTTTACCCTGTGGGTAAAGAAAACTTTCTTGGTGTCTGTCTGGAAATTACCCTTTGCAGTCCTGATTTGTGACCTCTTGCTCTATTGTTTGGCATATCTGAAAATATTGCTGTAGATTTACTTTTTCAATCCCAATTAAAATTCTATATATCTATGTAGTGTGTGTGTATATATATATGTATATATATTATAATATAAATTATATAATATATATTATATATATGGTCTGCACAAAAATGTGATGTTTGAAGGCATTAGACCCCTTCTTTTAGTAACCGTTATCATTGGAGACTTAGATTCCTGCTCGAAATTAAATGTCTTTGTTCTGTAAATGTACCGCAATCCTCTTAATATTGTCAACAGTTTGAGAAAGAGATTATTTAGCAGTGCTATAGGCCTTTAAAGGCTGTAATTACTAACAAATTGATGTCGGGGTTTGGTAAATGTTTTTCAGTTTAAACTTAGCAAAATCATTGACTTCTGGTCATAATCTGTTGATTAAGATTGGGTCAGTCAGTTCCAGTTAATGTGGTTCCTAAACTCCACCTCTATGCAGATGACACACAAATCTACTTCTCCTCCAGCTGCGACTCTGGGTCCACCAATGTTCTCTAGGCTTGTCAGGCAGATATCAGGGCCTGAATGGAAGTGAATGTTGACAAGAGGGAAGCCATACTCATTGGCTCCCGTCAATATCTTCTATCTTCTATCCTGCATCTTATCCCTCAGACTTATTGAACCAGTGCACAATCTCGGCATCAGATGCAACCCACAGCTGCCCTTCCATCCCCACATCCGCTCCCTGACCAGGATCACCTTCCTCCACCTCCACTACATTGCCTGCCTCCGACCGTACCTTACGCCAAACGCAGCTGAAACACTAGTCCATGCTTTCATCACCTCCCAACTTGACTTCTCAAATGCCCTTCTTTGACGGTCTTCCCAGTTCCACCATGCATAGGATCAGGCTGATCCAATACTCCGCCGCCCGCGTACTCACCCACTCTAAACTCCGTACCTCCATCACACCAATTCCAGCCAGGCTCCACTGGCTGCTTATTGCTGAACAGATCGATTTCAAGATCCTCACACTCGTTTTCAAATCCCTTCAAATGCCCTGGCACCTCCCTACCTCTTCAACCTACCCACAACCCTCTTGACTGGTTCTGGCCTTCTGCATGTCCCTCGTGCCCTCCATTCCACCATTGATGGCTGCATTTTTAGCCACTACACCCCAAGACCCTGGAAAAACTTTCTCTATCCCTACACGTTGTCTCTTCCTTCTCCATCTTCAAGTCGCGCCTGAAGACCTTATATGACCGTGCCTATGGTCACCTCCTCCTCCTGCCAACTCGGCATTATGCTCCGTCGATATCAAGTGCTCTGGGATGCTACCCTACGTAAGTAGCGTGATATAAATGCAAGTTGTTGTTATAAATCCCTTTACGAGACGTTCTTATGGCTGAGCTACATCATCTCTTGTGTGACACACAGTTCAGTTCATTTTGAAAGGCTTTGATCTTTAAAACTGGAGCAATTCCTTTTGTATTGAGTGTTTGTGATCCTTCATTCCACACCACTCTTACTCCCAAATGTAAATTGTGTGCCACTCGCATTGAAACTGGGTAATCTGCTCTCAAGTGAAAATCAGAAGCTTTCATGATTTTAACTTTTAACTTCTTGTAGAACTGTGCATGCACAAACACAGTACCTTAGTGGTAGCTTAAAAATAAAACTTGCAGTGGTGTTTGGTCTCATGAGTCCTCCAGCTAAATTTGGTCATTCACTTCATGACTTGTTACTCCATAGCCAATACTATAATTGGCTACTCCAGGTTGGTTTATCAATGAGACTTGGAGGAGCAGGGATCTTCCCACTCAGCTCCTCTTAACCCTGCAATCCAAAGCCTTAATGAGTACGGTGGTCCTGGCTCGAAAGGCAGCTGGAAAACTGGCCACAGAGTGCTTTCAGTGGCAAGCTACGCCGTTTTAGCTGGTTAAAGTTCTACATACTCAACCAATACATACTCTGAAGTCCCCAAACATTGGCTTTTGAGAACTTGTACCCAATACTCTGCAGTATTAGTAAGCAGAGTGTTCCTTCAATGAATGAGGGTGTATTCCATTCCAGACGTGGGAATTTCCATGTGTAGCTGGCATGCATGGAACACTGGGCAAGTTTCCTTACTCCACATGCCCCTGTTTACATTGTAGTAAATAGGAACCCAGTTGTTAGTCGATTGTTGGATCACTTTTCCAAGGATAATAATCCCCCCAAAAACAATAATAATTTGGTCACTCAGTCCATGACTACTTGTGGGACACTGCTGTGCGCAATTGGATGCTGTGTTTTGCCCACAAATATACAGTCAATTCACTTTACAGTATATTCTGTGAAGGGCTTTGAGATGTCTAGAAGACGTGAAAAGCGCTATATCAAATACAAGGATTATTTGGATGTTTAGAAAACATGCTTTATGTTGCTGGGACTACACATGAGTAGGATTTGATTACAGTGAAAACATTTTTATACATTAACGATTGTGAGCAATAGAAAATTGCAAAACAGGCACTCAAGTGGGAAATTCCCTGGATCTATTGTGCTGCTCTGAAAGTGACATGCCAGGTTTGTACCTTGTATTATAAGTGAAAGATGGAATTGGCAACTATTTTATGAACGGTTAAATAATAAAATAATAAAAAGCTAATGTGGTTCTTAACTTATTGTGACGTTCACTAATCATTTTTTGAAAAATCAGGCACCAAGCTGGATGGTTTCCATTTAGACAAGATGGGCAGAATCGCCAGCCTGTGAATCATCCGGTGGAATTCAACCAAGATGGACAGGAAGATAATGCTCATGAAGTGCATGAAATGGTGAGTGTAGTAAACAGGTTACTGATGCTTTATCATCTATCTCATTACACATTGAAAGTGTATTACTTGCGTTGCAATTCAATCATCTTCTGGTACTTATTAAACTATTTAAACAAGCCATTGTTTTACTACTTTTGTAGTTTCATTTGTAAAATGTCAAAAGCAATACTCCAGGTATGTATGCCAAGCAAGCTCTAGAACAGAAGTAAACCTTCAGATGGGTGTTTTGAGTTAAAGTGCTGATAATGAATTTTAATTTTGGAACAATTTTGTTGTACTTACACATTACTAATACAGATTAGATACATTTGTCCTGTTCTTGATGAAAATATAGTGAACAGTCTGGTGCCAGACAACAGTCTCGGTCAGTTTGTCTCAATTGTTAGGTTCTTCCATGTGAAAATTATTCTTCCTTTATGCAAGATTCACCAAAAATAGATTAATTGGATACTCAGCTCATTGCTGTTTGTGCAGTGATGTATTCATTAGCTACTAAGTTTTAATTACTGAACTCTGAAGGGTAGTGGGATCAAAATGGCAGGAACTTCATTCCATTCTTTATCACTGAGGATTATTACAAAACAGTACAGAAATTATAGTTTTAATTGTGTCCTTTAAAATTTGCATAACCAGTTTGGACTGAATCATTTCGTTGACTTCAGGAGAATGGTTTCTCTGTTAGGCTTGAGTCAATTTGAGGATGTTGAATGGAAAGGTTGCATGGAAAGCTGCCTCTAATTTACAATGTGTATTTCTAGGAACGACTGATGGATGTAGGTGCTGATGATGAGAGTGGCGACAGTGGTGAAAGTGGTGACAGTGGAGATGATACAGCAGAAAGTACAACAGGAACAGAACCACCTGGCTTTATGGCTTCTGCCTGGTCATTCATCACCACTTTCTTTACCTCACTCATCCCAGAAGGCCCTCCCCAAGTTGGCAACTAGACAAGCAGTGGACTTTTCAACTTACTACTTAACACAACTGTATATTTGAGTGGCACTTACTAAAAAAAAAGACTGAAGTGTGGGACTGTACTTAAATCTTTTTTTGTGTTACCAATATCAGTGCAATTTTACCACAGCTCAGTTTGCAAAACCTTTCTCTTCTGATCATGAAATACCTAGGGTGTATAAAGTATACTTTTTTAAACACCCTAATTCTTGAAGCACAAAGATGGAAAATGTGTGCTTTTCTCAGTTTATTTTTGTTTTTATTGTTTTATATTAGCAAAGATAAAATGTAATAAAGTTACCTGTCTTCCATGTTTTTGTTGTAATTGCTACAATGATTTAGTAGCAACTGGGTGCTGATTATTTTTCAAACAAGCTAACCAGGATGTCTGCTGGTAAGAGACAACACAAAGAGCTAAATAAATATAGACTAGCAATGTTGAACTGCACCTATAGAACAAGAACCCAATTTAATTCAAGAGACTACTTTAAAAAAAAAATGTTTTTAACATTGTAACTGCAGATTCTAAAAACGAAACCTGCTTTTCAACATCCCTTGGATGCACATCAAATTGCTGCACTTTCTGATTGTTGAAGAAACCTGTTCCTTCGAGGCGAGTTTGCACCACAGCACCCTGTTGAAAAATGCTGCCACCTGGTCCAGTATTTATCTAATGTGCAAAGTTGAAAATGTAATTTGGATTGTTAAACCCAAATTCATTGTGCTCGGTAGCTTGATTTGACTTGCAAGTTTGATGTTGAACCTGCTCGTATGCAAGTGAACAAAAAAGTTGCAATATTTATCCATGACTTATTGTATGCTTATATGGACATGTTGAGGGTTAATATTGGTGCACAACAGCAGCAATGTGAAATATTCTGTAATGTTCACAATTTGTGGTGAAACTTTATTGCAGTGAGTGCTGGTTTGGAGTACAAAGGCTAAGATCAAATCAAACTGATTCATACTTGTTTATATATATGCTTTTAAAATGTTATTTTACATTTAAAGACTTAAGTTTAGAACTCTTTTACTTCCTTGTTTGTATCAAAGGAATTCAGAGTTTGAAAATATAAACGAGGATCATTATCAACATATTGCCAGTTTTCATTTTGGAATGACAATGTGACTCTGATGTTAAATGGCATATGTCCCTGATGCCACACAAGGGTGAGAGCATAGTTTTGTAAGTAGTGTGATTGAAAAATGCTGTGGCCAGTCTGATGAGCAATAACTGCTACGTACAAAGGATACAGCACAGTTTGGAACCACTTACAGAAAATAAAGAGCCAAATAAAGTCTGCCTGCAGCATGCTAACATCTTTCACTTCCAAATATTGTCACACTGTATTATTAGAAACCAATAAAGCAAATAATGGTATTTCAATAAACATTCTTACACTTCAGGATTCTTGCACACAAGGGATTAAACTGGTTTTGAAATTAACTAATTTTATATTTGTAAAAGTAGGTAAATCGCATTTTGATAAAGGACACCACAGAAATATATTACTAATGTGGAGATAAAGGCCTATACATAATGATGTCCCATTCAGGCTACTGTCACCAATCATTGAACTTGTGATCCATCACCTGCTGGCTTTTCAGAACATTATAAGTTTGGTATATTTCTGATTTCTTACTCAAAATGTTAGGAACAATGGTTATCCTATTGTCAGAGTAATGATTAACAGGGCCTGGAAAGAAAGCACCGGCATTGTTACAGTGATGATGCAATTATTTTAAAGCATCAAAGAATGCTTTAATAGACCATTTGATCTTGATCGATCAAGTCTGGTTGTTTTCCCCACCTAATCTTACTCTATACTTTTTCTGTTTTTAATTTTTCAACTTTCTTGTCTAATTCCCTTTATTTAAATAAATGTACAGATTCTGCTTTAACTAAGGTTTGTGGCAGAGAATTCAACATGCCAACCACCCTTGGTTTAAAGTCTAAACCTTTACAACTACGCAAATCTAAATACAACTTATCGAATAATAAAAGGTTTGATGTGGAACCTTTTGGAACTGCAGATTCAAGCTCTGTGAGCAGAGTAAATGGACAGTAATGACATTGTTTCTGTACAAAGAATGATTTTACCTTTACCTATTTCTGTTCAGAGGTGAAGATGTCAGTTGTTGGAAGTTCCTTTGGTTGCTTCTAATTTTCCTTTTTGCTAGTGAAAAAAATGGTTAATACAGGACCAAAAACAAGCTAATTTCATATCTGCCCTTTTTTTTTACATTGGAGAACCTGACATTGTGAAATCTGCTTCCTTTGCCTTTTGAGGCAAAATAGAAAAGACAATTTGTTTTGAAAATATAAGAACACTTTGGTTTCTACTAGTATTTAGCCTTTCAGTAAAGTGGGTGTTAAGCCTAGTACAATACATAAAATAAATACACTTACATTGTTTGAAGAGCAGCACAACTTGTCCACTCTTGCCTTTATGACCGAGTTGTGCTGGTCACCGATCACTGTACTGAGAATTGTCTAGTACTTACTATTCATCTGGTGTCCCTCTGGGCACTCCATCCTGATAAACAGCAATTTCCACGTACATTGTAGGTTGGGTTGGATATTCTTAGCATAGTGATTATTTTCTGTGTCTCAGACACCCAGCTGACCAAATGAAACAAATATATACCATTTATACCATAGAATTAGAGAAGCAATTCCTCATTCAGGAAATATTAGGATTGATGTGAAAATGGAGCAAGAAAGTAAATATTTTGAAAAGTCATTCTATTCAGCTTGTGCACTGTAGAGCCGACTGAATGGAGGCAGTGGGTAGTGGAATGGGATATAAGCAGGTCAGAGAGTTGGGGAGGTGTTAGGTCATGAAGTGTTTTGTCGAGTGTGAGGAACTTGAAATTGATGAGTTCTGTGGAGCCAATGGAGCCTGGCAAAGAAGGGCTTGGGATGTCCTACCGACGTGAAAGGCGCACGTAAATGTAATTTTGTTGTTGCTGTTAATAGGGATCTGGAGTTTGTGTGGGTGAGAACATGGGAGGGGTCCTGAATTAGTTGGATATTGTGGAAGTGGAGCTAAGGAGATCAGCGAGGGGGGCATTGGAATAGCCAATGCAGGAGGTGACTAATGCAGGATATAGTTTCAGCTGCATTGGAATGGAGGATGATCCATTTCTTTAAAATGTGTGTTTCAGGCAGGAGAGTGGCCAAGCTTTTCTCACAGCTCTGTCCCAGTCAGTTACCAGCATTGTCTTTACGATATTACAGAAGAGGGACAGCATCAGGACATTCCAGGTGGTGACGTATGTTGTACATATGTCACCACCTGGAATCCAAATTGCCAGTGTTTAGTGATGAATACCTGTGTAAATTTTGGCCAAGGACTGAGATGGCAAAGAGGATGACCGAAGGCACGGTCAAAGAGTAAGATCTTGAGAGGGGCCAAGAAGTAGGCACGCAAGGGGGTGAGGTGAAGGGATTGCGGGGAATGAGACAAGCAATTTTCAGGTCACCTTTTCTCGGCCCTTCCCCAGATTGGGGCAAGTAATGCAATCCATGAAAAGTCTAATTGGTTGCTCAGGATGTTGTTGAGTTGTGATGACGTCTCAGTTCATCAAACCCGAACCGCTTGTGCGCAAACTGACTTCTTTCATGATTCGCTCATTGCCACAGGGTTTTCACTTGCTCATCAAACCTTATTGACACAAAGAGATAAAAGGGGCAAAAATTTTAAAAAATTGAATGTCAGCTTTATATTAAGATATTTCAGAAGAATGTAATGGCATGTCCACACATTTTGGCAACCAAAGCCACATAAGCAATGAGCATTCTCACACTGTATATGTCAATTTGGATATATTTGATGTCATGTATATTGATTATACTGTTAAATTGTCCACAAAAAGGTCAATTTTATGTTCCATTTTAAAATATGTGTCTATAAATTGCAGTGTAATATCAGAAAGAAATTTAGATCATACAAATTTATATTTCACTGCCAAAGAATTAATACTGTTATACTTGTGTATTAATACTATTATAGAGTTTCTCCCTATTCTCCTGCCAAAATTGACATTTGCACACTTACTCTAACCATTTTACACAAATCTTCACTAGTGCTTTTCCTTGACTGACCACTAGCAGGTGTGCTTGACCCATCATAAGACATAATCCTTGCATTTGATATAGTGCTTTTCATGTCTTCTAGATGTCTCAAAGCGCTTCACAGAATATACTGTAAAGTGAATTGATTGTATATTTGTTGGGCAAAACGCAGCAGTCAATTGCGCACAGCAGTGTCCCACAAACAGTCATGGATTGAAGTGACCAAATTATTGTTTTTTCTTGAGGAATTATTATCAGGCGTGTGGAGTAAGGAAACCTGCCCAAGGTTTCACTTTGCCCAGAATCAAACCCAGTTCTCTTGCTTGCAAGGCGAATGCTCTAACCACTGAGCTACAGGATCATGGGAACAGATTACTCTTGGAACACATTATCTTATCAGCATTTGGGAGAAACCTCAGTGTAAATGTTAGCAAAAAATGCTCTCTTGACTAAAAACAATAGAATACATGTTGGCAGCTGTCTAGCAGCTCAGTTTCTGCAAATGTGGTAGACTGTTATTGAAATGAAAGGCAAAGTACTGCAGATGCTAGAAATCTGGTGTAAACACAGAAGTTGCTGAGAACACCCAGCAGGTCATGCAGCATCCATGGAAAGAGGAAAATTAGTTAACATTTCAGGTTCTAACGAAAGGTCATAGACCTGAAATATTAATTCATTTTCCTCTCTCCATGAATGCTGCCTGACCTGCTGCTTGTTCCCAGCGAATTCTGTGTTATTGAAATGAGCCGGTCACCTCACTTCTTCTGAAGATATATGTGGTGTGACCTGACCATGATGTATCAGTTGTCAAAAACTGTGCTCAACTGAATGCCACAAAAAACATCCTCCCTAAATCAATTCAAATCCTTGATTAGTTTGGGTGGTAATGAAATAATTGGAAGTGTTATTTTGACCCCTTTAAAGTGCAGTTTCTATCCTATTCAGCAGAGGGCAGTGTGGTTTCAAGAAACCTTTTTGTACAAAACAATCCACCAGTTACACTAAAATTACTAGAAACATAAAATATAATGGGGCATTTGACTGGATGAGCCCGCTCTGCTACTAGTAACTTTTAAATTCTATTTTCCTGCAATTTCTCCATGTCCCATAATATCTTTATTTACCAAGTATCCATCTATCTCTTGAATACATCAATCTGCTACTGTGTATCCAACAATAATCTATGACTTTCTGAAGTAGTCTGTTCCATATTCTCACAATGATGAGACCTCACCAACCTCAGCAGAGAGCCACCACACTGAAAAATAGAATCGGAAATTAAACTTATAGTAAAAAAGAGAAAGTCTACTTTGGTTGAGAATTTGAAATTGCTTTTGGCAAATACAAACTAAGAGTGTGGCTAACAAACGTACTGTTTCTAACTAACTGAATGATGTAAAACAAAAACAAATTAAGAGTTGTTTCTCCTTTCCTTTGCTGATGCCATGTAAATTCCCCAACCAAGAGTCAGGAAATGTACTCCTTGTTCGATTATCTAATGCAACAATGACCTACACTTCAGGCAGGGGTCAGGCCAGTGCCGGGTTGATATGTAAAAACTCTTCCTATTAAAGAGTTGAACCACAAAAAGATTTTATACAGAGTAAAGTCCAATTTAGACATCCCTTCCCTTTTCTGAAGTTCAGTAAGACTAGTGTCCGTTAGGTGAGCCTTGTCTAAATTAAATTGCGTAGACTCTACAGCACTGAAACGCGCCATTTGGCCCAACTAATTTTATACGCCCCATGAGCCTCCACCCATCCTAATCCTCCTCTCCAGCCTCTCTCCGTTCCCCTCTGTTCCCTTTTCCCTCATGTATGCAACAAGTTTTTTCTTAAATGCGTTGATGCTTTCTGCTCCAACTAAGTCTTCTGACAGTGAGTTTCCACATTCTCACCAACCTCTGTGTAAGAAAGTTCTTCAAAAACTCTAATCAATAGGCTAATGTTATCTTATTTTACACCTTGCTCTGAATGAAATAATTTATATTTAATTCACAGAGCATTTCTTCAATGTCTAGTTTGTTTCATCCTCAAAGTGAATGGTAAGCATCTTTATATCAGTGATAGAGAATTTACTTCTCTTGTTTAACATACAGAGGGACTCTCAAAATGATAATAATAATAAAAATAATCCTTGCATTTGATATAGAGCTTTATCAAGTATTTGAGATATTTCAAAGTAGTGCACTGTAAAGTGAATTGACTGAATGTTTTTTGTGCAAAATGATGTGGGAAGGAATAACTTTAGCAATAAATTGTTGCCAATGATAGAACAGAAGAGGATTTTCTTTATGTTAAAGA